ACTGTGTTATATATGTTTTTAAAAAAAATTATGGAGCAACCCTCGTATGTATGAAAAACGGAAAAAGGCGAAATGTATTGTAATAAAAACAGAAGAGAAGTAAAATAAGGAGAGCAGGAAAATAACCGTTGCACAAGCCAGAAGAAAGTTTTTAATGGGTTTGTTCTCAGTCCATTTTTCTCACATTTTGCGTGCTACAATTTTTTTTTTCTATGTCTCTTTCTTTCTTCTCTATCGCCAATGTTGTTGTCACTTTACACTCCGTTTACAATATGTTTGCGAATAGCAAATACGCAAGGCCAATTGGCTTGCATTGAACCGGGCAACGGAAATTTAAACGTGATTTATATTCATTTGTATGGATTTGTATGGCACACGCGGTGTGCATTTGTGTGTGGGTTCTCTTTGCGCCACGTTGACAATTTTCTATTTCAAATAAAGAAAGGAAAATACGAGTATCGAACAAAAAAGGGTTTCGAATGCAATGGCAAATATCATGAAAATTGCCCATTCCAAAGATTAATAATCATAGAAAAACGTGATCGATTTCATGTTTCATCATTTCTATTTTCATTACCATTTCTATGCGTCGTTTCGATTTCAAACTGAAGAGTGGAAAAAAACGTGCGCACAAAGAAAAGGAAATATAAACGACCATTAAATCAACATACAGTGCACAGTGTATAAAAGAAAGAAATTCTTACATAAAATATATATTTTATATTGACATTCATTTTAGCATATGGCAGCTTATTCGCCGATTTCATCGCGTAATCATCGTATAAATCCAGCGCCTCCGTACCATATTTCCAGTACTGCCAATTCAGCGAATCCAACAACATCATATAATGGCGGTGGGATTCTATCAAACGTGTTCCACGGAAATCTCACGGGAGGCTCTAGGCGACGCGAATCAATAAACAGTTCAATTGGTGCCACTTCGATTCGACGTTTGTTAACAGTTAATCGTGGTTGTCGGCATAAAATTTCGTCACATATTCGTGCTAAAGTGGCGAAAAACTTCGCACTTTTAATCATTTCGCATGGTTTGATGTCAGCCGTTTTAGTGCCAATGTTTGGTTTACAGGTAAGAACATGTTCACAAATTGATTTTCACAATTAGTAAAATAACATTGATCGATACGTTGTGTATGTGCCAATGACATACAAAATTGAATTGTGTATTCTTGTTATTTTATTTGCTCTTTTTCTCTTGTGTATGCCACAGGCCTCAAATTCAATGTGGTTTCATCAGGAATCATGGTTACTAAGAAAAATCGGACCAAACGTTGGCCCATTGCTGTTGGGTTTATGCTTTTTCGTTACATCCGGAACGTGTTTGTTGACAACGAGATTAGTGAAAAAATTCGGTTACATTCAATTAATTATCGCGCACTATGCCATTCTCTGTATATTCCTATTGATTCATTTATATCCAACGATTTGGTTGCTCATCATTGCATACTTTTTGCTCGGCATAACAATGGGCCCGAGCATGATATGCAAATGGAACTTAGTGGTGCTATTTGCAAGTCGAATAAGTTGCGGTCAAACGGAATGTCCAACATTGAGTGCAATGATGAATGAGAGTGTCGGCACTGATGACTACAAAGGATTTTGTAATCGAAATGAACGCGTACGAAGATTAGCACGTTGGTTTCATGCCATGCAAGACATTGGAATTTTGGTTGGCGCTTTAATTGCATCAATTATAATCTCATGCGCAGCAACCGAATCAAAGTGCATTCTCACACAACAATTTTTCAAATTAAATCGAGATAATAGCAGCAACAACAGCACCAACAATCTAGTTATCGATAATATTCGAATGAATACGCTTAACGATACCCATAGAGGAATTGATATTAGCCATTTAAGTAGAAATAGTTTTATGCCAAATAAATCAAAATCGACCGCTGATTCAAGCGGTGTGGACGATGCACGAGAAACATCGACGACAACAATGCCATCGACACTGGTACACACAACAACCGAATCGGATAGAATTGGAAACGGTCTGAGTATACTGAAATATTATCAACAATCATTTTTCAGTCAGCACAATGAACTGCTGGACAGCCTGTTCAACACAAACGAACGTGGTGTGAGAATCTGTGGTGCGGGCTCGTGTCCAACATGGAATCGTGCATTCGAAAGCAATGTCACCGAAGAGTATAATTGGTTCACATTTTCGGGCACCATACCAATGACATTGTTTTATATTATTTTGGCAGCGATTGCATTGGGTCTTGCTTGTTTATCGCAACAAGTTGACACAACATTCAAATATGAGAATTTCAAAATGATCACCGACACACTTTTATTGGCCAGCCCAATGGCATATTTTATTGGTACCGAACAGGGTTACGTATTGGGAGGTTTTACAAGGGTAAGTTAGAAATGTTATTTCTTAATTTGGGTTTTATTGTAGTGATAAGGATGTTATAGACAGTTGACATCCGTTTTTGCACAAAAACATAGAACAAAAAAGACATATCGCTTATTTAAATCATTCCGTTTGCATTGATTTATGTGTGTCTTTAGAATGCCTGTCGGTTGTATAACAAAAATGTGCCAGACGTTTCAGTTGATACGTGTCACTTTTCGTTCGTTCGTATTACTATTATAAGTTTGAAAAAAACCAATTATTACTGCATCTGACATAAATTCACACTTTTCTCTGGTTTTGATTTTCTTTTCTCCATTTTCATTTTCCCAAATAAAGCTTACTACGTACATCATAATAATTCAAAGTGTGAAAACCCCCATCTGCCTCTGACAATCGCAGTCAATCTTCAAAATGACTTTGCTACTTTTTTTTACCCATTCCCAAAGCAAAGAAAAAAAAAATGATTTTCCATCAAAGTAATGCGTCTTTCACTTATCTTTAGGAAATAGTTGAAAAGCAATTCATCGGCATGTGTGGTGATGTATGGGAATGCGTTTCATTTTGGATAAAATATTTTATTTCGATTTCCATTTCGATTATAAGCGGGACACACAGAGAAAGAAACAAAAAGAGAAATGATAAAAAAACAACACGCCATGCCATTCGTCAACGGAAAAGAATAAAAACCAATAAATTCGGTGCTTCGATACACATACACATTTTCGAAATTGCCACAGATAAATGAAAAGTCATCTAAAGTAGAATTGATGTATGAATATTTATCACCAAATGGAATAAAGCATATTGTAATGTTTATCGTGTGGCTCTCACAATGGCTGAGTTCGTTCATAAATTTTGTGTCAGTGAGACGAATAATTTCAATCTTTTCGAGTTCATACTTATTTCTGGAATCTGATATCGCCACACAGCACGGCTGATGCTGAGTGGCATTTGCTGTCACAAATTTGACATACAATTGTAGCATTATCGGAAAATAAGCGCGATTTTTCGATGTTTTATTTTCGGTCTGTATTTTGTTCAATGTGCAAAGTAGTGCGGAAGAGTGGTGCGAGAATGTTACACATAAAATTACTGTAAGAAATATGATCTGTTCCATCGCATCAATACGTTTTTTTCCTCTGCTTATTTTTCATCCATCCCTTTTTTTTCTCTTTATGCATTGCCAGGCATTTGTGTCGTGTACGCTTGGCGCACAAATGGTGGCTGGCACTCTAGTTTTAATGGGTGGAATGCAGCTCATCGTTTCATGTACTTTAAGCATGCTTTTGCGCCACGTTAAACGTTCAGCCGTTTTAGGTAAGTAAATTCTTTTTTCGCCTGTACACACAAAATATGCGAAACATCTTTGGCATGTGATAAATTGCGTGTAGCAAAAACATTTTGCAAACCAAAAAAGATATATAGTCATATGTACAATTTTGTGTTCACTATTGACTTTGTGTGTGTCTGTGTTTTTTTCTCTCTCGTTTATTTGCAGTGGCTGCGTTTTTCTTTCAATCATGTTTGCTACTCGTGCTGGCAAATTGGAAGCCATCACAAGATGATAGCGCTCTATTTTACGTGATTGCTGCCGCCTGGGGTGCCTGCAATGGCATTTGGGAAACACTTTTATTCGCATTAATAACATTAACGCACATCAATAGTATTATACAAATTTCATCGCCGTTGCAAGCGTTTCGATTTTTGGGCATGGGTCTCACATTTGCCACACACGGTTATTTATGTGAAAATTTAAAAATTCTCATTCTATTTATATTGCTCGTCATTAGTGTAATTCCTTATGCAATGCTGGAAATTCGTATGGAAGGACAACGTAAAGCACAGTCAAACAGCATATGACGAAAAATGCTCAGCTAGTTGAGCAGATCGCCTAGACCAAATCGATATTCATGGTACTTCAGTTGCCGAATTCGATTCTAGAATCAAATAAATTCCCTCTCTATCCCTCTCTCATTCATCAAACTTGAACGTAAACATATGGTATGTATTTCTAACATAACAGTTATGTCATATACATCTATATATTCGGTATCAATCTTAATCGCACTTTGACGAATATTCTTAGCATTAACATACGCATTGATAGATATGACATCTAGATATAAGAATCAGCGAAACGATAGCTATTCAATATACACATTGTACTGTATATGTTTAAATTAAACGTAAGTGAAATTGTACCATATGGAAATGAGTTTATCAAACCAGCCAATTCAGTTAACATTAGAGGTATAAGTGAAATTCAAAGAAGATGAAAAAAAAAATGAACAAAACAAAATTATCGCCATACAAAAGCTTGCACAACTCTATTACAGAAGTTGAATTTTGATTTGACATTTTATTAGGTTATATATAGTATAAATTACATATAAATTGTATGCATAAGAATCAAAGTCTATTTGATAAATTGTCATGAGCAAATAATTTAGATCGAGATGGAGTCGATATTGACTTTTAACTCGAAATTTATCCATTTGAGAATTGAAAATGCAAAATCAAATATTGAAAGTGCTCATGGGAATTTTCTCAACAATTTATTGTATTACACAAATGAATAATGTGGAATTTTAAAAGATGAAATTGAGTCTATAAAACATTTTTTGAAATATTAGACTTGAAGTGATTGCCTGCGTTGAAACAATGAAGAGTCAACATTTAGTGTCGGTGTAATATGCAAATTTTATTAAATTAATTATGGTAGCTGTTTAAATGAACTCAACGAACTACTGAAAAATGGTTGGGTTTTCGACCGACAAAATATATTAGGAATTCGTAGGAAAGGTCCATAGAAACTGGTTGTTAGCAACCAAACACTGACAAAAATCTCAATCTAAAGTTTAAAATTGTTGATTTTCACCCCAAATCGGACAAATTACAACATTATTCAAAAATCTGGTAGGTACTGTGTAGTGATTGTAAAAAGAGTTATAATTTATTGAATTTTGGTTGGATATCAAACAACTTTTTAACATTATGAGTGGAAAGGTAAAATTCCGTTTAACTTACATAAGCTCGGTGAGCATATAGTATAATGTCCCATTATTACTTTAGTGTTCACCATGAAAGAGTGGCTTTAATACTTCAATGAAAAACAATGAAATTCAAACAATAGTTCGCTTCTATTGTAATTTTAACATGCCATAGAATCTAGTTAGCTTCTATACTTAGTATCAATTGTTATATAATACGAAAAAAAAATAGGCAAGAAATTGCTTGAACTTTTGTGTTTGGCGCAACAAAAAGGAACTGTATTTAGAAAAATGAAATGGTAAAATGAATAAATTGGAGCCAATTTCACCGTCATATAACTCGATAAATTCAGCGAATACACATATACTACTACTATAGATGTTATAAACGTGTTCGTTAAGTAACAAATATATTGACAGCTATAAAATCGTATAATTAAACTATTTTATTAGATGGATAGAAGCCTTTGGTATGAATTTATATAGATTATCCAAAAATTGCGAATGTTATTTAGTTTTACCAAATGTTGTTCGTAAAGAATATTTAAAAAGGACGCGAAGGATGTTTGCGGAGTGAAACATTTCCTGGTGTATTGCATTTACAAAAGTTTGCTTTGATACAAAGTTGATTTATTCTTATTGGACATTGAATGGAATCCAAAACATAAAAAAATGGAAAAAAAACCCCACAAGAATAAGATAAAAACTGTTGTACTATTCAATGACTTTTTCATTGGACTTTCCATGGAAACTATGAAAATAACAATCCCGCTGAAAACCATCGAATGCATATCAACTGATGTATAAAAGTTTATCACAAGAAATGCAAAAGTTATTGAATTGGGTGTATTAAGTCAATCAAACATGCGAAACGGCTCCAAAGTGTCTAGTCATCTGTCTAACAAAATTTACTAACCTGTCTATCGTATTCACTTAGAGTGAGTGTTTAAGTGTGCCAAAAAATGAATAAACATTTGTTAATTAGAAAAGTAGTATAGTTATGGCGGTTCTGTCCAAACCGATTTGGACAGAATCGCTATAACTATACTACTTAGAAACAATTCCTGAGTTTTAACCGCGAAAGAGAAAAACATATACATAAATATAAATAAATATTAACAAATAAAGCTCGTTATATACAAAGTTTGTATTAACATAACACACAAACTATGCAAACTTTGCGCTGTTTAATTTCCCAACATCTCTCTGGTTGGTGTAGCTTTAATGGCATTCTATTTCCGTGCACAAGCTGTATATAGAGTTATAAAATGGTAAGTAGTAAAGTAAAAAGACCATAGTGTTTGAAATATTATTACATAATTTATTGTCATTCAACTTTAGTTTTATTTTTCAGATTACAGTTCTAGCGTATGATGTCTTTTTCACTTTTATTGATGCACACACTCTATTGTGATATATTCTTTTACTGTCATTTTAATTTTTCAATCTTCAAGCTTTGTGGTGACTTTTGCAAAATTCGTTTTCGCCATTATTTTCTTTTTTCTTTGTCGTTTTAACGAGGATCAAAAACTCATTTGCTAACTCTAAGTCTCTGTTCTTTGCAGTCTACATTGTTTCGAAATTAATTTTTCGTGTATATTGTGTGTGTGTGTGTGCTTTGGTGGTGTTTTGCTGCCGTTTTTTTTTTTGCTGATATTACATATGGACTAATTATGGGCTTTTCAATAATTTATTATTTTTTTGGCGAGAAAAGATTTTAAAATATTCATTTTTTATCTAACGCTTACTGTGTGTATGATAACTCAAACCGAAATACATTTTGAATGATTAAAGTCATTTTTATAGAACATATTGAACGCACAGTTTTAACAAATTCAACTCTCAAAACGAAGCGCTTGGCCAAATCAAAAACTCTGTCATTTTTATTGAATGTTAAAATTGACCTGTACAAAGCGATGACAAAGAAAAAGAATAAACACCTTTTTTAGTTAATTCATCTGCTCCGATGAATTCATCTTGACACAGGCTCCTTCATTCGAAGAATATTTCAACTTGTTAACAGCAATTATATTTTATCAATCAAATCAATGTACAGTTATTTTGATCATGACATCATAACTATTATTTTATTTATTTATTATCGTTACAAATCGCAAATTTGTTTTGTATGATTTTTCTTTCATTAACATGGACATAAAACATTCAATGTATAATTTTCGTAATGCAATTTCGTAAATTTCTATTCGGGCCTGCCTGGTGCGAATCACATGTCATTGCCGTTTGCATCAAATCCAAATGAACAATATAAAGAATTATAAATTAAGTACATTCTCGTTATTTTGATTATTTTATTGTGTGGTTGAGTGTGTAACTGAAATACCGAGGCGAATTGTGACAAAAAGGTCTATCCAGACTGAATTTGTTGGCTAATTTTAACTTATATCAATGAAACAAACGCTTTTTTTCTCATTTTAAATAAAAATCACATACCGTTAAATTAAGTTATAAATACTTGCAAATATTAAAATAATAATTGAAAAGGAATAACTTTTTGTTGAATTATTGTTGTTTTTTCTTCTAGTACAAACAATATACACACAGTTTACATTTGCTTCGCTATCTTCAAAATGACAAATACACAATTGTAAAATCTATGACGAATTTTTATCGCAAAATGCGCACAATAAGAGATTCTAAAGTAGCATTTTGCATTTTTCTTTAATCCTTCTGTCTGTTAAACTATCATCTCTCTGTGTAGGATTTAAAATCCGCAACGATTTTTTTGTGTAGTTTTTCTTTTTCTTTTTATAAATTTTCAAAACATTCAAAATTTGTTTTTGTTTTTCTCTTGTTTACTTAGTTCAATAATTAATTGAGTACATTTCGTAATTTCGGTTGGTGTACGTGTATGTGTATTTGTGTGTGCTTGCATGTGTGCCGTCCGTTGCGCGTTGGTTTTTCTCAGTTCCAAAAAAATACATTGCTTATTAACATTGTAATGGATGGAGGAACGATAAAATGAATGAAATTGACGCGCTTAGATTGGTACATAATTTCCTTTCGGTTTGTAGAACAATTGACCCTTGAATAGCCGGCGCATAATTTCGGATCTCAAAAGACTTTTCTCTTTTTGGATTTTCTTCAAAACGCCCTTATTTTCCTGAGCCCGTCGCGATAAATATGGGAGAACTTCGTGAACAGGACCATAGGGGATGTATTTATACGCCGAATAACCGGCTTGACCTTTTGTAAAAACAACAACAACAAAAAGCAGATGCAATTAGAAAGTTGAAGTCGTTCAAATCCAAAAAAATATTATTTACCAAGTGGCATTGTGATGTAATCACACATTCCGAGCAATTGACCAAAGCAAATGACTTTGTCTTCCGGCGACAAACCAATCTCTTTCATTTTTTCAATGGCAAAACGGACCGTGTCTTCATTATGACTAGCCACCATGATACCGATTTTCTTCGCATCTTCACCCTTGTCCTTCAATAACTGTGCGAATAAAAAAATTCGTATTTATTTTAAACGAAAAACACTCATTGAATATATGTAAATTGATTCAAACCTTAATTCGTCGCAAGCATTCGGTCAACGTTTTATGATACATTTCGGTGGTGGCTTCATAGCTCGGATTAATTGGATCAGTATAACCGAGAGCATCAGCTCTTGCGCGCTCCTGTTCCATGTATGCGCCTCGTACTAATTTCGCACCAAAGTAGAAATTTTGACGTGTCGATTGCTCCAAATCCATGCATACCTGCAATGATTAAACGAACAGTTCAATTAAACAGTGGTTTGTTGCAAGAAATTTAAATTAACTAACCTCATTAAATGCTTCTTTCAAGTAACATTGGTACGTATTGAAGACAATGGCCTTTTTCGTATTATATTTTCGCATCATTTCAAGAGTGATCCGAGAAATGGCTGGTTGGAAGTAGGTTTGTTCAGCATCGATCATGATGCGCACATCTAAATCTTCGGCAGCCTAAAAGAAATATGAATATCATGGATGAAATCACAAAAAATGACGAAATTTGTGCGAATAATACCTTTACAATGGTATTCACTCTTCGGATCATGTTACGGAACATTTCCTCTTCTTTGGCTGGAATTTGAGAGATAAGCCGTCTCATTTGTCCAGTTTTCGGATCTGGTACACGGAAAGTTTCACTCAATTCGCTATCAGCATCGACAATGCCCGACCAGGGGAATAAATGCAAAATTCTATCGAAACGAAAGAATAAAGTCAACCGACTGTGACATCGATATATAATCATATGTTTGATTTACCCTTCTTTGTCCGATGTTATGTTTTTCAAGAAGTTCTTAACGTCCTTGTTATCGCCCACTTTTGAATAATACTGTTCGAGGTCCTTAATCGTTTTGTGATGCGACATCACATTGCCTAAAAAATGAGAGGGAGCACATTTGGTCAAATTGAGTGAAAAGAAGAATCGATTTGAATTTATAAAACATACCGTGGCCGCCAACCATATCCATCATATACTGACGAGTTTGCATGATTACCTCTGACAATTGTAGCTGTGTAATGAATTAATGAATTTTTTGATAAATATGAATGGGTCTAATGTTTTACTGTTTAATGTGAGACTCACAAGTAATTGAGGCCGACCGAGAGCGGTTAATTTAATCGCTGTTATACCCGTTCCGAATGTAGCACCTTGAAAAAATAAAAAAATGATAGTTTTTTTTCATTAAATTCACACACATCATTTTTCTATAAACTAATAATTGAAGCGATTACATCTACAGCAGCAACAACAACAACAACAACAATAACAACAACAATACAAAAATGAAGTAAAATAAGCAATTTATTATTATTAGTTTGGTCTTACCGCTGCTACATCTGTTTGGCAATTTCAAATCATACTCTTCAAAAATTATGAGTTAAGTTTTAGTATAAATTGATTGTTAGATTTGGTTTGATTGGATTTGATAAGTGGCATGTTTGATAAAAATGTTCAAGCGATAAGTTGCAACAAAGAAGACCAGCGGCGAACAATTTGATTTATTTGAGCAGCACCAAAATATTCCATTTAATATAAAAACGAAAATACAGATGAAAAAAAAGAAGAAGAAATAAGATGAGATGAATAAAATACATCAAATCATTGCATTCCATGTATGGGGATTTCATTTTATCTACTCTGACTCAGTTTTTTTTTCTCAAATGAATGTTTTTTTTATTTTGTTTGAAAATTCTTTTGAGATTCATCATATTGTATGCGATTCAGTCAATTTTTCTTGAATACAAATCAAATGAATCTCTGAAGTATTTTCTCTCGTTGTTTTGAATTAACTTTTTTTTAAAGTCATGAATGAAATGCCAATGTCTAAAAAAGGGGGTTGGTGTCTGTTTCGAAATGAGCAAAACCTGTTTTATTTATCGCTTTAAAGTCAATATTCTAGTTAAATAACAAGAATTCTAGAAAAAATGACCATTGGGACATAGTTTTAAAACCTACCTGACACAGCCTCAAGGCATTTGATAAAAATTTCCATGTTTCGTTCGCAAGTCGCTTCGTTCAAATAGAAATAAGTTCGGGCACTCTTCACTTTGAAACGTCGATCGGCAAATGTTTTATCAACCGTATATTGTGGTAAGTTGGCACCATCAGTTGGCGTAGATGCTGCCGATGTTGAAGCACTGTAACGATGAAAAAAACAACCATTTAAATTCAATGAATTGAAACCTTACAAGTGAATGGGATAATATACATGTTTTTTTTATCACACCAGATTGAGATGCGTTTTTATTTTTCTATTGAATCCATTCTAACGGAGATACAAATGTTTCGTGTTGAAGTTGGGGTGGAGGGGGAAGGAATTTTCTAAGTATGATGAGAGATAAATATATCTGACTTCTCACCAGACAATTGTATATTCAGCCGTTGATTGTGTAAAATTGCATTTACTTGAATTTTTATCGACGTTTTGTTGAAGACTTGATGTTGAACTAAAATATCAAAATCAATACGATTTTCATAGAATTTATTCAGAGAGTTTGCATTGAAAACGAAATGAATGAACTGATGAACATTGTACAGTATCGATTTTAAAGCGGTATTTTTCCAATCTGATGATTGAATTGAATATTACGATTTGCATTTACAATGGATTGTAGCTCTTCGACTTACTGATTGGTGTTGGTGTGTGTATGTTTGAGTGCGGAAAAGCAATAAGGGAACAATATAAATTGGCTTCAAACAGTTTAGATTAAAAGTGTAATGACTTACTCAACTTCACGTTGTTCAGCTTCTTCCTGAGATAAATCCTCTTCAACTGAATAGTCAAGAATTGGTTTAACACCGAACGAACGAAGCCTGTGAATTCGATTATATAAATTTTCATTAAAATTTCCAACATGTAAACAGACAAAGCAAAACAAAAAAAACAAATGCGCGTGGATTTCTATAATTGTGTGTTAATAATGTGTTTTAAAATAAATTTAAAAAAAAAAAATTGCTTCAAATTGTGGTGTATCAAACGAAAAGCTGTTATATGAAAATGGATGCAAATCTTCGTGAAGAATATAAATAACAAAACACATGGGAATGGAAAAGGTATACAGAATACGAATGATAACCTTTCAAGAGTCGGTACGATTTTGTGGCGATCCTCGCCAGCAACGAAATGTCCGTAAAATGTCGACTTCATTATCAAACCGAAGAGTTTTTCGCCGAAAATCGCTTTGCAAATTTTCATTATCTATTTTATTTGTTTTTATTTGTAATTGTGTTGATTAAAGATTTTCGTTTTTATTATATCACACGTAAATCCATAAGAAAATGAGTCCGGATATTTTGGAAAGAGTCGCAACGAATAGAAAAAGAGAAAAAAGAGAAAACAGAATTGTTCGATTAAAAATCAGTCGTAATTAAAAAGTGAATTTACCTTTCAACGCTTGGTATTATTTTATACTGATTCTCGCCGGCGACAAAATGCCCGTAAAATGTGTGTTTCATTATTGCGGTAAATAATCGTTGACCTAGTATTGCTTGAACCACACGCATTATCTAAATTTTATTTTCAAAAATTAATTGTAAGTTGTGAAATGCAGCTAAATTCATTTTGAGTGCGTCAACATTAAGAAGTCTCTCATCTAATGTATACATCGAACCACAATAAGCCATATAAAATCATATCATTTGTATGTGCCTTTCATTCTCATAAACAACAACTAATTAATTTCACTTCGAAGTCGTCAAAGTGCGCTGTTCTGGCAATCATAAGAAAATGTCTATTAATCAAAAATGGTTTGTTTATATCGTGCTACAGTTGTCAGCTGATTAAAGAATTTTTCACTGCATTTTGTTATTATTGTTATTATACAAAAGATCTAAAGCAAAATGAAAATAGCTTTGACAACGATCATTTTGTACTTTGATCCGAAATTCGTTGACACCTTTTTGAATGAGACGCGTTTAGATAAACACTTGGGTATTTTTAACATCCTCGTAACGTGTTGTGCATTTCTGTGTTCAATCGTCTGAGGATCGCTTTTTTAAAAATCACAAAAAATTTCTTTATCGTGAAAGGTCAAAATAACCCACAACGTAAAATATGTATGTTCCACGGTGATGATGAAATCTTTAAAATTTCTTTAATCAGATGATTTGATCATACATTGGTATGAATTGAATTATAAATTGAAAAAAAGCTAACCTTACCATTAGTCATTTATTAAAAAAAAATTGAAATTTATACAATAAAAGCAAATGTTTCGACATCATCCTCAAACAATGACACACCGAAATAATTGCTCTTTTTGAATAAATTGCACTTTTTCTATATTCGATTCAAAGATTTCGTCTCTTTTGCCATTTTTTTAAAAATAATATTTTATCATTAATCGATCAATTAATGTCTCATACATTTATAGCTGCAATGGATTTAAGCCAAATCTTTATTATTTGAAATTTAATTTTAATTGGGCTCAAATTCCATTCATTTAAACATATGTTATTTGATTACAGTTTTGCAAAAAATTGCATTACACACTTTTTTGGCAAGAAAAAAATGCTAATTGTTGCCAGAAAAAATATGTATTATAGATGTATTGCTGCGACACACATTTGAAAGTGGTATTGAGTATACACAACTGAGCGTTCAACGCTTTTACACGCTCAACACGTGCTTTGTTCCGTCATTTTAATTTTCGTTCGCATTGATTCAGATATATACTCTGCATGCTGCTGATAACTCAACCGTTTTAAACCGCGTTTTATAACATTTTTTCTTTTATAGTCTGCGTTGAAGCATCTGTTTCAAGTGAGCACTGACCGGCTCCTCGACATTGAGAGACTACCTTAATGATACGTTTGCATACGTTTGCTAGTGTGCATAACATTCATATTCATCACTATAGGAAAGTTTGGATCTGTTGCCAATTCAGATTCATCGTGAGTGACTTAATTAATCATACACCGTATGAATTGAAACACAAACACTGGTGATGGTTTTATCTGTTTATTTTTATAATGGTTTCATTCAACTCAGCTGTATACTTTAAATTATAACCTGTATGCATACGATTGAACATTTTAAAGTATAACATTGAACGACCGTGATGATAAAAATTAATTTTCGGCAAAAAAAAATAATCATCAAATGTTTAATAGGTAATTCATTTCAATCATTTTTGCAGCCTGATTTCGGGAAATATTTCCAACCTTCGATGCTAAGTTGTGATAAAAGAAGAATGGATCTTTTTTTCATCTTAGTCTATGTCTAGACACTTCTTCCGTCAGAAGATAGTTTAGTCTCTGTAAAACAAATTACCGAATTTTGAATCACAGGTTGTGCGCGTGTATGTATATTGTGTATACACGAATTAGTATATGTATGGGTAATACACAGTTTGGCAACCGTGTAACTAAAATGTAAACCAAAATTTTCCACATGCGCAGAAGCGCGTGCTTTGATCGCTGTTTGTGAGACTGTGAATGTATTTGTAAATATTTCGCACTCTAATATGCGTATCTCAGTAATCTTCTTAAATTTTCCATTGAATTTTGTATGCTCACCTTATATTCGATATAAAATTCATATTCGGATAAATAAATCAATGACACGAGTGGATTTGATTGTAGAAAGAGAAAATCGTAAAATAAACTCTGAAATAAAACCAATGTGCGTGTTCTAAATTTAATTTCGGCCTACATATGACACTTTTTTCATTATGCGGAAGTCGTATACTCCGCTAAGAACAATATACAAAATAATTTTTTTAAATAATTTTAGACTACCCGACATACTGAAGATAAGAACAGTTGATTGTTTCTATGGTTGAATAGGAACAAATTGGCATATATTTTTTTATTGAGGTGGTTCAGTTGCGGTATACTTCCGATTGTTTTATTTCGTTCTTCTCTCTTTTTCTCACTTTACATCTGTAAATTATACATGTGTTTGTGTTTGTACACACGCAAAACTTTTTTTCCTTTGTTATTTATCGTCACATCGGTATATGGTACACATACACCTATGCATTGTTTTACTTTACCCAAAAGAACCTAACAACATGACGTTTGCATCGCAAAAGCAATCAATGACGACTTTTATGTATAGAATTTTAATAAATAGCAACAACAATTTTTTTGCCCAACAATTTATATAATGGGTTAGCTTATAAATTGCTTTGTAGCACGAATTTTTTTTTTCGCCTTTTTTATATAACGAATCATAAATCTTTCCCACATTTACTTTGACAAATTTTGATAGTTTTCAATTTTAAATCACAGCTAACTGTCTGCAATGGAATTGAATTCAACCAATTTTTATTTGTATGGCACGGCGAATGTGATAATTCGGCGGCTCTCCTTTCAATTTATAATTTCATACACGTGATAATTATAGAATTGAGAAGTGCGAAATATCCAAATTTGGAGTATCCCACATATTAAATCAGTTATTAGTATAATTTTGATGACGATAAGTAGATATGCATTTCTTTTGCCAGTATCTCGATTTATCTCGTGACGTAAAGTATTTTTATGCCTTTTTTTCCTACGTGTAATTTTTTTTATCCTTTTTTCTGCGAAAGGGTCTATAAATAAAAATTACAGGAGCTGACTACTTGTACGATTTTACGCAGAGTGCTGTGTATCTTTCGAAGTAAAGAAAATTCGTAAAAGATGATCTATTGCGAGCTGAGGTTTCAATGCTAACAGTGTGAACAGGCTGCTTTTTTATTATTGAATACTTTCATCGATACAAGATACGTGGAAGTCTTTGATGTAATATGATTCTCTGAATGAAGGCGTCATTTGAGTGCGAACCAAAAATCATTTTGAAGGAAAATCAACGCAGAAAAATCGATTGTGCTGTATGGTAGATTTTCTTTTCCTAAGGCGAAATGAGCGATTTTGGCTGTTTTTCACACAGATAGATTACGTAACGTCAACTATGATATTATTTTTACATGCGCAACATTTTCTGCACTGTATCGCACAAGCATCAACATATTCAGAACGAAAATGATAATATTCGCATAGAGAATTCATGGTGGCGTCAGCACAAACGAATCATCAGTATAAAAAATAACTTTGTTACAGCATTTGATGGTCCAGATGAAAAATAAATGTTCCATAAATGTTCCATTACCTTCATGTTATTCTCAACGAGATATTCAGACGAACACATTAAATAAACAAAGTAGGCGCGAATCAATTCCCATGTTGTTTTGCTTTTAAATGCAGCTATTGGATCGTTGAAGCTAACATCCAATGGGTCACGTTGTGGTTTTTCATCATTTGAAGTGCTGACCGGTGATGTTGGCGTGGTCTTGGTGGCCGCCAATGTAGACATCGACGTTTTTTGATCGTTTGCATGGCTTGATGTATTGATTTCATGTCTCAAATCAATGTAGTACTTCTGGCATGCCAATAGTTCGGCCCGTGAGAATTTTCCATTGTTCAATGCCGCAAAGACATGGCCATTTCGGTGGACACTTGATCGACTTGATGACGAGAATTTTCGTGCTAACGATTGCTTACAGCGGGTAACTGAACGCAAAAACGCCATTACACGACACTAGAAACAGCAACAAATATATTTTTTCGGGAGAGAATTCGAATGGATTTTTTTTTTTTAATTATCTTGTTGTCTTCACTAACTCTTCGCAATCTTTTTTATGGTCTTCTTTTTATACGGTTTATTTGAGCGACGAATATTCTTATTCGGTGATTTCGTTCGAAAATTCAACACTGCAAACACTGTTACTGACGAAAAATCAATAAAAGACAACGATTCACACGGTTAGTGGAACTCGGTTCATTCACACGGAACAATTGTTTTTTTGTGAAAGAAACGAAAATTGAGTCGACAACGATTCGACTTGAATTACCACGTAGACAATTTTAAAAAACAGTTGTCATAAATTTAAACGCACGAAATTTATAAGTTGACAATTCTTGTAACTTGTAAAATATGCTTAATAAAAATTTCCTTTCCACACTGTTATTCAAAAGATAATAATTTTCTTTTTCACCTAACCGAAAACTGCGTGCAAGTGCGACAAGCGATACTGGCAGAATGAAAGAGACACACAAATGAATTTCATTTCAAAATCCTGCGCAAACGCAAATCATGCAAATATTTCCATCTCTTTCGTATCGCATGACGACAACCGTCAATTATTCTCTTTTTTTATCGTTTTTTCTCTCTCTTTCACCTCACATCGTGGGATACATCCATTTCGTTCTTTTTATCTTTGTTGTATTTGCGTGTTCACTCAACATTTTACAGCTTGTGTGAATCTGTGTGTATTACACGAGATGATGATGTCTGTAGTACTAGATTTTATCACATTTTGACATATTTACACACAATACATGCGAAATAGGTAAACAGATGTGCCGGTTGGCTCAAAGACTGGTATTTAACCCATTCCAGTCTGTTCACTGAATTATATTTATAAAACAAATAAATGTACAAAACGAAATAAACGCATTTTTATTCAACACTTTTTTTTTGTTTGTTTTACATTTTAGCATTTAGAAATTCGAAGTTAAGTAAATTTTAAAATTATCCTACATAAAATATCATTAATTCAAAATATGTCGAATATAGTAGTAATTGGTTTGTGAATCAACTCATGTCATGCACCAGCTTGTGCTTATTTATGCATGATATTTGGTTATGTATGTTGTGTTTTCTACAGTCACAAAATCTTCTAATCCATTTCAAAATTCATTCGACAATCATTCCGAGAATTATTTTCTTAATAAGATATCACAATTGGCGTCTGTTATGTTGTTTTTTATTCTTTCTCTATTAACAAAATTTCGAGAACGTAATACAATATATAAAATAAAACAAGCATTTCATGTCAAGGAGGTAGAAAAAGGGGGAGAACAAATTAACAATTATAAATAAATAGAATTTGTTCAATTATTTAAAATAAAAACATGCTAGGATTGTATATTTGATACATTTAAATCAGAATGTTCATCGATTCTCATTGTGTTAATACATCGGACGGAAAGCGTACGACAAAATTCTTACTGAGATGCACCGATATGTTATTTATGACGCAATTTTTGTGTTTTTAAAATTTCAATCGGCCTGAGTGTTTTTAGTTTGTGTTTGTGAATGATTTCGTGCATTTTCCGTAAGCAATGAATAAGTTGACATGAATTTAAATTATCTTCACTCGGATTGTAAATGTTATTTGAGTTTTTTTTTTTTCAAATGGTGTTCTTGGTTTTTTTCGCCAATTCTCATTCTGATTTCGTTCGGTCTGAAATGTGTTCAATAAATTATTAAATGCAAACACGAAGAACAAACAAAAAACAGTATGTCTAGTGTTTGAGATATTCTAATTGTTGTATATAGATTTCGATGAGAAAAAAAATTTAACGAAAATCTATGTTTGTTCTTCGTATGTGTGTGTAGAGGTCTATCGTAAAATATTTGTGTTGTTTTTCTATTAAATTGTGGTAAGTGTTTGTGTTTAGAAGTATTTGTGTTTGTACTCTAGTTAATCAGTTTTCTTTAGAATTGGGATTGAGGAAGGAAGCTATTGAAATGTGAATGTCAATCACTATATCATTATTTTGTTTTTTTCTTTCTCTATTCATATAAGGCTATGCCATTCTTAATTTGTGAATTTTTCAGTTTTTACTCTATCTCGGATTTTCTGTACCTAAATATATATTTTCTAGATTAGCCACTAAATTCTTGTTGTCAAATCACAAAAAATATGGTTTTATGGTAAATTTTGGTTCATCATCTATGCTAGTCACATTTTTGGAAGGCCATTCAAATTCATTAAAATGTCACGATCTAGTAAAATATTTGCGGCAATGTTATACCGGCGGCAAGTGACATTTCTTTTTAAAACAATTTTACGGTGCCGCTTCTCTATGTTAAAGTTTCAAAACGTTTCTATTTTTCGAACAGAGATATACCACAAGCTCTGAATTTTTCGATATCAAATTATTTATTTATAGCTATCCTAGTAATTGTTATCAATGCATGTGTTGGAGATGATTTTCTAGTTTAAAAACAAAAATCAAATGAATATTTTCTGATTGTCTAGAATGTGGGCCTATGATTTCGTATGATAAATGCCAACTTCTAATAAGTACAACCTCATTAAAAAACAAACCAAAGCTAGGTGTGAGCTAACTTTGCTATTCTCCTGTATCAGATGACATGGGCTCGAGCTTAATTCTTTAAGAAAAAAGAATAAATTGAACGTTTGACCTTTGAAATATTCCAAGAGGTGTTTATATCGCAGTGAATATGTCAGTGGTCGAAAAAATTCATTTTCTCCTTTAATCATGATATTCACGTGTGTTTGGATTGCCAACCAAAACTATTTCCCCTGAACCATCGCTATCCAATTCATCTGTATCTATAATGGGCTCGCGAGGATCGTCGTAGTATGCTGAAAGATTGTTCGCATTTTCTGCAAAGAAACAAAAAAAAAAAACACCCATTATCAATGATTTGCGTTCAGTGTTTTTGTATGACATTCATCATTTTGTTGAAACATACTTTTCATTGATCCCGGAAATAGTTCTGTCTCATCATCATCGTCGTCAGCAAATAACTTGTCCTTTTCTCCTACATTTTGCGGCAACAAGTGGAAATTGTAATTATAGTTCTTATTCCTTCGCCGCGAACAGCATACGATCAACAAAGCGGTACATGCAACTATCAAAAGACCAACACCGCCAAACCCAAAAATGAAAGCCATGCGTGGCAATCCCCATACATTTTCGTCGACAGCTAAACGGAATACGATCGGTTCATTTAGACCCAATATTTTTCTGAAAATATCGAAAAATAAACATGAATTTTCTGGTTTAGAGCACACAAAAAAATGTGCGGCCAATTCAAATAAAGATACGGTTATAAAATACTGTGCGGTCAAATTTAAACTTAATGCGGTCATATTTACATCGTTCTTATAACACAGAAGTTAGAAATGACCGCATTTTATCGCATTCCAGAAAATTTTAGATACACGCATAAACTTGAAAATCAAATATTCAATTTACCACACACGAATATGAAATTTGACGATAAGGTTTTTTTTTTGTTTTCTAAAAAAAAAAGATCTAACTAAGATAAAAGATACACATCTAATCTTGAAAACAAGATAAGATAGTACCTTTACCAAACACCAAAATTATGGAAAAATTCTTTAAGATAACAAACCTTGTGGCACTTTCATGGCCATATGCCTTCACTTGAAGTGTAACTGTACCAAATTGGGTGACAGAGAAATGGAATTTGCCCATAGTATCAGTCGTATTGGTTATTTGACTTTTCATATCAAACAAAGTAACTACTGCTCCTTTAATTGGATGATTTCGTTCGTCCAATACAAGTCCCGACAATTTTCCGCCACTTATTGCTTTCAGTTCGGCTTTGCCAATATTTGGTCCGTTTTTCACTTGATCAATAACAATGAAACCAAAGTCATAGGTTTGGCCATTAATCACATTGAATGGGATCGTTTGAACCGTTTCCGACGTGTTAATTTTCAATTCGTATTGGCCAGCTGGTAAAACGAATCGAAAATGTGCCATATTCTTTGTAACTGATTTGGTGAGATCGTTGCCTGTAATTGTGACAATGGAATTTCTTAATGGAACACTTTGTGCATTTCGAATTGATCCCTTAACGCCGGTCTCCGTTAATTTTAAAAAGTTGAGCGCTTTGTGAATGGTTTGTCGCCAAATAGATGCAATCGCATTTTGTGGTGGCATCTTACAACAGCTCACTTGAAGCGAGTACAGTGGCAGTTTATAGGTGTTCATAAGAAATTGTGTTATTTTCTGTAATGTGCTTGTTTGATGAATCCGAAGTGGATTCAGTGCGCATTCGGTATGTGTCTCTCTTAATCGATATTCGCCAATTTTAGCAGCTGCTTTAGCAAATACCGAATTGAAATTATCTGTAAGTGGACTTTGAATATCAAAACCACCAGCAGAGAATGTTAATGCTAAATCAAAATGATTTAAATCCAACATATTTAAAAAGGTTGATTTCTTTTTGTCAGTCTCTGGGCTCAACAGCCGATCGGCAAACTCTTCTTTTGTAATGGGATCACATACACTTTGATTGCTTGAGAATTGACCGAGAATGAATTGGAAATCATCAGTAAACGGCATGAAATGCAGCACCGAATTCTTTAACAAACGGATTAATGGTGGTTCTTGCAGCGAATAACCGGCAACAACGTGTCGTGCCAAATTCACAACCATTTCACGGCCAAGTGGTGAAGTATCGAAAAATGAACCCAAAATTAAGATGTTCAATTTTGTTTCACCCGGCGAACCCATCTGGAAAATGGACAAATTTACGAGTGAAAATATCAAAATTTAACAAAGTAAAATTAGTAGCCTTACATCTGCTGTTACGGTTAAAGACGGAAAGTCAATCGATATCTCGTTTTCATTTGCTTCAAAGTTGGCAATTGTCCTGAACTTTCGCTCAATTTCAGCAAAGGTTTGCTTGATTTGATCATCGGTGTGATATCTAAAATGGAAATGTTATTAAATATAAGTGGAATGATATCAAGCATATATTCGATAGCATATTGCTTTCTATTTACCTTGTCTGTATGACATTGTCAAGAATTCGATAATCGTACGCAGACGACCAATGTTGAGGGTCGTCATGCATTAGACTGATATCGTATCTCAATATTTTATCCTGTTCAGTAATAGTAATTTCTTCGATGTGAGATTCAAAACCTTCCGCTTCGAATGTTATATTGTATCGTCCCGGTAGCAATAATCTCCAAAATTCTCCCGTCTTCCACGTATAAGTGACATGAGTGTTATTTTGAATTGTGATTGCGGCATTTTCAATTGGTTTTCCGATCGAACTTCGAACATATCCAAATACACCGCGATGAACTTCTTCGATATATTTGATCAATGCTTCGCGATTTTCATCCCAGTATTTTGGTAGATTTCTTTCCATCGGAAACTTGCTGCAGCCAACTTCCAGTGTAATTTCAAATACGCCAGCAAATACATAATTCCTACAAAAAAAAAGAAATTAAAATGAATTCCACAACGGTGGAATTAAAAAGTATGAAAGCAATCAGTCTTACCAGTCTTGCATTCCACCTGTCACGCTATACCATGCAGCGCCATTGGTGATACCATCATCAAATTTCTCATTATACATAATTTGACACTCTTTACCTCCGCTGTTCATTGTTTTATGGGCGTTTGCATAAACTTTGGCCAAATGTTGGAACATCTTATTGTCTGGCGAGAAATTCGGTACCGTTCTTGATTTACCACTTCTTCCAAAATCTCTCGGGCCATCATCATATGGATAGTTGGCAACCAAGCTACCGCCATGTAAATTCGCCGATAGAACAAATGGTAGGGAACGTGTCCAATTCATGACCGCTTCCGTTTCCGGTTGTGGGTTTCGATTTAGTTCATTTGTTCCATATTGATCGGGAAAATTTCGATTTAAATCGACATCGTTTGTATTTTTACGTCCAACTGCCGATATCAAATCGCCTTCAGTTGACAATTCGTATCCGTCGGGATTCATGCTTGGCAGTAAATGAATGCGCGTCGACTCAATCAGCTTTGTGATACGATCATCTAATTTGTAATTTTCACACAAATATTTGGCCAACAATAGCAATAGTTCGCGACCCACGACCTCATTACCATGCATATTTGCAACATATTTGAATTCTGGAATACCGAATCGATGTTCGCCCGGATATTTTCCTATTTCAAGAACATACAATTCACGACGCTGAACACTTTTACCGATGGAATAGAGCCGCGTTATATTCGGATATTTATTGGCCAAGTCATGCAAGACACTAAAAAAACACACACACAAAATTAAAATAAAATTAAGTAAAATATGGAGTTAATGCTGGTGCTTACCTTTTCATTTGTTCATAATTGTGATGCTTGAATTCGGTCGGTAAAATAAAACCATTTGGATCCGCTGGATTTGATCGTATTGTTTTTGGATGCAAATGTGGTCCTTGAGCGAATTTGGAAATGAAAACAAAAAAACAATTAAATACACATAAAGAACATTGAAAAAATAAACAAGAATTAAAATGCAATCTGTCAAAAAAATGGCAAAATTGATTTTTTATATCTCGCATAAAATTATTTACACAAATAATTACATTTGATTATTGATTCAAACAATCATTCAAAAAATGGATCAAATAGAAAATCCGAGAAAAAAAAACATTAAGATTATCCATTGCTTTATATAAAAATGACGAATTGAAAACCAACCAACAACAACAAAATATTGACCAATTCACACACATGTGAATTAGAGCATGCAAAATTACAACATCGAATTAACATTAATGAATTAACAAGTTCATATGACAGCTTATTTATTTAGTAGATTTGTGCGAAAACAGTTAGAAAGTTATGTTAGATTTAAGCGCAGCATGTTAATCATAGATATATGTACATAGAGAAATCTTACGATTGATTGAGACATAAGTTCTTCTTTGTCAGCCGAAATGGATAGAAACAAACAGTTACAATAAAACAAATGTGAGTGGTTTTTCGGATGTCTATTTATTGTTCTGATAAAATTTAATGTGATTGGTTGTTTGTTTTCAGTAATATTGTACCATTTTATGGATTCAATTTCATATAAGAGCCAATTTTTAAAGACAAAAACAAATGGTCAAATTTTGTTTGAGGAAATGTCGAAACATCGATTTTCTATATTTGACGAAGAGAAATTCGCCCGTATGCCAAATGCGAATGATGCGTTTCACATTAAATGTGATTGATTTGATCTAAGATCTGTCATTATATGATAAAATGTTTCTTCTTCAACTAGAAATTCGATATTTCGATAAAATTCCCATTCTGTTTAATCGTGTACATTTTTAGTCGAAAAAATTAGGGTTAATTTCAAATTTTTCAACTGAATTGCTCAATAATTGATATAATTGCTATGATTAGTTTTTTATTGTTTTTTTTTTTTTTTTTTGTGTAAACTGATTTATAATTTGAATTTGGCATGTGAATATTTTGCAATTTACAATATAAAGTGACAATAAAAATGGGAATTAAAAATAATTCAAAAAATCATTCTAATTAGCAATTATAATTGCTTAAATCAAATTTAAAATCACCTTGATTTTCTTAAAATCATACACAAATTCATATTAAATCTTCAGATTTTGATGACTGTATAAAATAGCTAGATCAGTTATATATTTATAAATTTTTATTCATTTAGTTTTCAGCATTATAGCGAGAATTATTATTGACATTTTTTTTTAAATTTATATTTCATTTTTGAATTCAGTGTTTTTGAGATAGAAATGCTTGTCAGTTATCATGAAATGTTAATTTTTTATTTGATCCATTTTTCTTTGTTCTGTCAAAAATCAGGTAAGCATGTTTTTTGATCGTTTTAAATTTGTTAATTTTCATATTTGCCAATTGCCATTTTATCATTCGTTTTATATTTACAATTATATTTTCCTTAAATAGTCAAATTTAATACAAAACAGATGTGTCTATTTTTAATGTTTAAGTCAGAGTAGGTTTGTAATAAAAAATAAAATTGTGCAATTGTAAGCAATGGTAACATTTTTCTTAAAGTAACATTTTGGAATGTCTTGTCAAAATAAGCATTTTGTTCTAATAAAAATGTTTCATCGGTTAAAGTAATTAGGCAAAATAGAGGCTTAGTATTTATGTAAAAATTCCACCAAAAAAATGTTAACGTGCAATCATTTAATCCCCAGAATCTATAATTATATATTACTTTACTTCTAAGGTTTGATCAATGTTTTGTGAATGAAATTTTGAACTGTCTACCTACTAAGCCTCAAGCATTTTCCAAATTAATAAAGCATTTTTCTTGTAAATAAAATTGAAATTAAAAACAAAAATAGCAAAAGTAAAAACAAAGAAATTTCCCAAAATAAATGACTATAAAAATAAAGCAGTCTATACTAAAATATACAATCAAAAGATTTAAATGCAACAAATAAACAGAGTGGAATATTTATCATCACAATGAGAAAGTTAATTGGTGAACTACGTGTCGCTGAACTACCTTGATGTGTCGCTGCAAAGAGTTGACAATGTGATTGGAAAGAAAGAAATTTTGTTAGAAATTTTCTTCTTGGAAGTTTTGTTTTTTAAGTAGTGAATTTGATGTCATTGAAATATTTCAAAACGATTTTATTGAGCCGTTAATTTAGCACATAAATGAATGGTCTTTGCACAAAGTACAAAAATATATGATTCCACTTGGAATCGATGTGTTTACAATACACATGTGTTCAATGTGAGAAAAACAACTGGTGAGTAATCACTCAACAGTTACAACGTCGTCACTCTTTAAACAGTTGAGAATTTTTTTCATTAACTGAATCGGTAACTTGGATGAACGAAGTAATTACTGACCATGTGAAATGATGGATGTTTCGAGAGTTAATGTAACTTTTCGGAGCGAATATTCTTTTACATTATCTCAAGCATATTAAGTGAAATTGTCATGGAGGTACATAAATAGATGGAAAAAATGGTAGCGTATAATTTCAAGCAATCTCAAAAATTTCATTAGAAAATTAGTTACAAACTAGAACATTTTCTCATGATATCAAACATGTTGAATCCATTATTTTTGTTCGTGGGTCATGTTCTTGTTTCGATGACAGTCTTTTAATCTGCTTCCAGTCTTCATTCAACACCCATTGAAAATGTTAGTTAAAACCACTTGTTAGACAATGTGACCAAAACACAAAATGAAATTATAAACAAAAACCAAAAGCAAACAAATTGAAAAAAAAATATATACAAAAATTGAAAAATAAACATTTTAAATGAAAATAAAAAAAAACCATTCGATTTTTACTATTTTGTTCTTGTGCTTCATGAAATTTGGATTGTTTTTGTGGTTCAAAATGTTAGTAAATTTGATTTGATGATAGTTTTGTTTTTTTGAATGATTATTATTATTATTTTTTAATTTGGTGCCAATTTCAAAACTCAAAAATAAGATATAATGTCATTTCAGTACATCAGCAACAAATATTAGTGAGTACTCTTGCCAAAAAAATAGTTGTGTTTTCGTTAATAAATACCTTCGATAGCTGGTGCGGGTGTCATGCTAAAATTGAGAATAGTTGGTTGATTACCATCGACGACCACTTGTTTTATTGCGCTTGGTTCGTAACTGAAAAGCAAAAAATTAGGCGAAATCAATATTAGTAACTGTCCATTGACTTTTTTGTTTCTCAAACTTACCCAAAGCCAATAACTTGCACATTATATGTTCCTGGCAAAAGTAAACGCCAATATTCGCCACGATTTGTTGTGCGCACTGGCTTCGATTGCAATTTCTCAACAAACACTTCCATATCAGCCAATGGATATCCGTTATTATCAGTAATGATGCCTTTGATGCCTTGATGTGTCTGTTTGATGTATTCGATAAGACTTCGTTTATTCTTTGCCCATTCGCTCGGCAATTCAGATGCATTTGGGAATTTGCAGCATGACAACTCCAACGTGAGATCAAAACAATTCGAACGAACATAGTTAAAATCTTGCATTCCGCCGCTAAAAAAATCATATAAAAATATATATTTATGTTTATTACTATGATTGGCATCTACTTTCAAAATTTTATATCATCGTATTTACCTGAGCTCATACCAGTGAGCACCATTTGTAATACCATCCGGGAATACTTCATCACAATTGTGTCCAGTTCGCATGGTTGGATGATTTTTTGAATAAACCAATGCTAAATGACGGAACATTGCGTCATCGGGTGTTGGACTGTCATTACAACATTCATTATGATTTCTGTTGGCAACGAGACAATAATAAAGATAATTTTCAATTCAACTATGGATAATATGGAGTAAATAAAAATGATGGTAGTTAAAATAATAATAATAAATTACATTGTATTGTCGTATGGATAACTGGCTACAACAGCTCCTCCATGCAGATTGGCCGACAACACAAAAGGATTTGAATTGATAAACTTCATCATAGCAACGGTTTCTGGTTGAGAGTGCTTGAGACGTTGATAGAATGTAGACTCAAAACGATCTGGAAAATCACGATTTAAATCCACATTCGCAGCATTACCACGACCAATGTAACGGTCACGCGATTCACATAATCCTTCCTAGAAATTTAAAAGCAGAGAAACCATTGAGACATCCATCTAAAATACATCTTTTTTAAGTTATCTGTTTGTTCTCTTCAAGAGAAAAATTCGAAACGGATAAGTCCGCTGTTTCGAAGATTTGTTGCTATACTGTGCTGTGTGGGCTTATAAGTATGCAATTCATTGAGTATTAATTTAAATTTATACTAAGAATTTGCAATTAATTACAGTATTTTTCCCAGATGAGAATTCTTTGCAAAAATAAACCAAATTAATCATTCGGACTCAAATTCAACGAAAATGAAAAGTCGTGATTATTTATCAGTATTTTTTACATTATACAGAATACAAATAATCTGAGTTGAAACAAAGCAAATTTCTTCACTTTATCACTTGATTAACCAACATTCTCCTTTTTGATTTTTTTATCATTTAAAAAAATATTTACGATTCATAAAATTAGTCTTCACTTCAAACTACAAAAATCATTCCATAAGTAAGTTGTAAAGTGTTTTTATCGCCTTGTCGCAGTCGCGTTATCAAAATGTCTATTTATTATTTTATTCGTCAAGCAAACCTTGTACGTAAACTGAATACGAATTTGCTAAATCACTGAGCATCACTTATGATATTTAAAACGTACAAAGATTGAGTTGGTCATTTTTTTGGGTTGACGCACCCAGTTCCACATATATAATATGACGTTCTGCCGTAAATAGTCTACATTTAAATAATAAATGAAAAACATAGTTTTGAGCTAAGACCGTTTATTATCATTTATTATTCAATATGACGACCGTTCCAATCAACTTTACATTTAAATTGAAAGCTGCATTCATTTAGTGGATATTTGGGTGTAAAATCTTTTTTTCCTTCCAAAAAAAAATGGAGAATAAAAGTTGAGTTGAACCATGTTGTAGTTCAATTTGATTTAATTGCATACTATTGAAATGAAGCTGGCACCACACAACCGAAAAGTTTTGCGTTTTGTAAGTGTGGTTTTATCTGTTTGCAGAATATTTGTGTGCATTGAATTGGAATTCATTGTAAGTAGTCAGAAAGTGTGAAGTTGTTCAATTGAAGCAAATGACACATTCGATGACACATAGATAAGGCTTTTGTTTACATTTGACTCATATTGGCCAGCTTGATGGCATTGAATAATGGAACTGATGCTTCAATAACATTCTGCAAGCTAATAAATTCAATATTTTGTAAAAATGTCAACATTATTTCCTTTGCACGTCATTGGCAATAGGTTGTTCAAAGTTTTAAATGGCATCAGAGTTACATATGAATACCAACTGTCAGCTGTTTAAATAAAAAAATAAATATTGAAGGCATTTTCTATTGCCATTTCATGTTCGTTCACTTCTGTTGTGAATATCAATTGAATAAAGTGTATCAAGACAACAAAAAAAGTTTCAGTGAAAATGACATCTTCTGATGCTCTGCATCATAATAAAAAAAGAACAAGAGAGATAATTTTCATATTTTATTCCATTTAATCAATAGTTGATTTTTTTTTTGCATCAATTGACTGTCAACACTCCGCTCCATACGTAAAAAAACTGAATCTCAATTTGAACTAGTTCAAATCGACAACAAATTGCACATAGGCATAGGTTAACATCAAATTGGAAAGTAGACAACGTGTAAAATAGTTCTTTTTTACTTTGATGCGTGTTACAAAATTACCCACACGCACTCATTAGCTCACGTAAAATTGTTTCATATATGTGAACTAGTGTGTGTTGGCAAAATTGCGTTTCAGTTTGATAATATAACATATGCAAACACAAACAAGAAAAATAAAACAAATGTAGCGGTATTGTTATTGTTACAATATGTTGAACATTTCTTTTCTCGGACATTTCAAGTTGAACACATAAAAGAGAAGCCAACAAAGCAATGTTTTAATCATATTTGATCTGAATGAATAGATTTCGGCCAGCGAATTGTACAAATGATGCGTACAAAATTATTGAAGTGTGAAATGACATTAAATCATGGGAAAATGTTTTATTTGTATAAGCGATGAGATTGTTTGCATTTAATTAACTTGTTTTGATATATTGTTAAAACGAATGTTCACTTTGATTAACTGCGGGCGATAAAAAAATGTGTGTTCAAGGACTTTTCATGAACGAATGCATATCGAACCGTGCTGCGTTATTATCGAAAGAAGGGGAAATTAATGAGAAAAAAATTATCACACAGTATCGTATCTCAATGATAACATATTGTGAATATTTCACCACTAAAAGAACAATTTAGCTGGTAAGTGCTATAAATGTGTTCGTGTAATTTATATTCAATAATTTTGTCTATCTCAACACAACGATTTCGTCTATATTGGTAACGGTGCACATACATACATATTTAAACCCGTTTGGTTAGCAAGTAAATTCCACGAATTGAGTAGTTCACATCGCCCAAACTTCACTGAATTTACGTGGGTACATACAAAATAGATTTGAAATAATACGAACCTTTGAACGATTAAAACCATCTGGATTCATGGATGGCATCAAAAATATATCGGTGCTGTCCACTAAATGCGTAATTTCCGGCAAATTATTATAATTATCAAGCAAATATTGTGCCAAATAGATGAGCATTTGACGACCAATCGTTTCGTCACTACAAATACACAAAAATTCATTTGTATTAGAATATTAGCATTCAACATTGATAACATAATTAACTTTGAACAATTTCATCGAAAAATTATTTTGACTCAAGTTCAAAACATTCACTATCGTTCAATGGAAAAACCACTTATTTCATTAAATCTGATTTTGATAAAAAAAAAAAACTAACTTTATGAAATAAACATGAATCATCCGATTTTTTCAATTCTTTCATTAGTTAAGATGTATGTAAGCAAGTGGCTTTCCCCTCGAAAACGGTACAAAATAAACGTTTTGTTTTCGTCATTTTTTCTGAAGAAAAAGAAACATAATTTGCAAGTCGTTACCCATGCATGTTGGCCACATATTTAAATTGAGGCTTCAATAAATCGCGATGTCCAGCATTGCTGCTGATTTCAAGAACAGTTAAATCCCGTCCTTCAACCGATGCACCTAACGAATGTACTTTTGCCAAAGTTGGATACTTTTTCGCCAAATGCGCGCAAAAGTCTAGCAATTGTTCTTCCGTATGGTAGAACGGTTCACCGTTGAGAAAATCTTGTTTTTCGGGTGTTGTAAATGACACCACCAAATGACACGACAACAGCACAGCCAGACCAATCAGAAATAAATTGAAAGCATTTAACCCCATGTTGATGAAACACAAAATAACCAAAGCATATACACAATGAAATCAAAATAAAATCGGTACAAATTGTTTGTTTGTTTGGTTTTTTTTTGTCTTTTGTGGAACTACAAAAATGTTCACAGAAAAAAAAACCGATGAAAAAAAAACTAATAATTTTACTATTGCACGAGAGAAAAAAATTGATTAAATTGCGCCGCGTATATGTAAAATTTTAACCACTTAGAGCACAAACTGGGGCAGCTAATTTGATAACAGTTTCACTTTTGCGTCTAACTATTTGACGAATCGATGGACAATGTTTCAATGAGAAATTGTGCTTTTCTTCTGCCAGAATGTGTTTAATTTATTTGAGGCTGCACAAAACTGTTCTCGCGCGATGTAATTGTACGAATGGTTGTTGTTTGAAACGATAAACCAAATAAAACAGATTCTTTTTTTCAATTAAATTCACTCTTCGACGGTAATTTTTCCTCAATTGTTTGAAGAGAAAAAAAGACGACGTGACGTCTCTTATGAGCTCTCCTTTCCAATTGCTTTTACTATTTGACAAACATGAACATCAATACCACTCTGGTCTATATTAGAATATAAATTTAGAAAGCAACGACGTATATACGTTCAAAGGTGTATGTGTGTGCGATGGTGCTAGTGCCAAGCATGATTTAAATCACTACAACATGTGTACACTGTGACGTCAATGTCAAATATCATGCAATACCAACAACAATGGTAAAACCTGGAGTTTCTTTGATGATGGTCTTTCATAACATATGCACAATTTTTTTAAAATAAAAAGTCGAAAGTTTCTTAATGTTGGGTAATAGTTTGTTTATAATCAGAATTCTCTTTGTTTATGTCATTGTTGAAGTCAAACAAAGATAACTTTTTTCGTTTTTAAAAGAAATAAAAACAGGTTTTTGTTATCGTTATGTACTATGTGGCGACATCTATCTGTGACATTTATCAATTTGCAATATATACCGCGATGTTCAAAGCATCATTATTAACGATAAAAGTATCGTTTGCTTTCTTAAAACTTTGCTTTATTTTAAAATAAAATGCTCATTCATCGTGTGATATACGCGCATAAATGGGAGGTTTTTATTGAGTTTTTTTATAAATACAATCAAATAAAATGTGCTGAACAATATATTATTTCACAATAAAAAAGTAAAATTTGTATTTCGTTTACATTTCTTAACTAAAAAAAAGATGTCATCAAAACAAAGAAAAAAATATCTGTCATTTTCAAAAAAAACCCACAATCTTTAAAATCACATTAAATAAAATAATTAAGCTGCGAACGTTTTTAGACCTTTCAATAATCGTGTTTGCCAAGCAATTTGTAGTCACTTCTTCCCATTCTATTTAAATTATACTGGTTGATGTGATGTATATTTTGTAAAAAAAAATCCCAAAACCAATTGTAAAATAAGTATATGTTTAGAGCCGTTTCTATATGCATGCAAGCACCTATAAAATCTACCAATTCTCTCAGTTCTCTCTAAAAAAATTGACCGAACCTTCGACACTCAACATCCTATCGATTTATACAGCATACATAATTGGCGTTAAATGTAAAACATCACAACATATTCTTCTGTTTTTTTTTGTTCAATGTATACATACATGCTAGGGAAAATCGTTGGAATACTTTAATGATTGGCCACGCCTTGTGCATACTGCAAACCGGTGCATAAATGTAACATAATTACGCTCAACGCTTGTACACGCTCTTCCGATTGGCCAACTAAGAATGCTTTTCCAGCCAATTCATGTTCATTATCTTTCGTTTTTCTCGGTGTCGATTCAGCACTGCTGCTTCGTCTAGTCTTGTAATCGGTGGTTAGTGTGCTACCATTATTCGATGCTGCATTACATTTTTCTTGCGTTTTATTATCGCCCAACAAAGCAAATGCATCACTGGCAACTAAATTCGCATGCGCCGTTGTTTCACTGTCCAAAGCCAATTTCAATTTTGATAACTGCAAAAAAACACACTGAGAATAGTGCCAAGTATAAAGAATACAATTTATGAGCAATAAACTTACCAAATTATTTATCACTTCAACGCGTTCTTTTGCATCCAAATCTACAAACAATGTTTTCGATGTTATTTTTGCTAATGCCATCATTTCATCGGGACCGTCCCAACCGATAAGCGGTTCGGTCAATGAGACAATTTGTTCACGCGTTATATCATTTATTTTGTTTGGTAGTTGGTCCAATTTCTGTATGACGACCACAAAAGGATTTGAGCTTTGATTGACAAGAGATTGTTTTCTGTCATCATTTTGGATTTAGGTTGGTGTAAAAACGATTTTATGATACCCATTTTTTTTCGTTTATTAAAAAGCAGCCAATTAGTAGCAAATTATTGACAGTTTTGTTGGATAAAGGAAAATAAAAAAGAAAACAAACAAACAAACAAAATCGTTTAGCATCGTTATTAGTGTGCAACACAAAAATCAAACAAATAAATCAAAGAGTATAACCTACCGTGGTGTATGTTGCGGACTTGGTGGTAAACTGCGTGTACCCTGATTTAAGGAAGATACAATAGCCGGTATTGCTAAATTATTTGCCGAATTTACACGTTTAATTCCTTGCGAGATCATTTCACTAAAACTTTGTCGATGTTGATGATCTAATTTCGGTTTTGGTTCGTCAATCTCTTCAAAATCATCAATTTCACCTTCGCCATCCGCATCAGTTACTTTAAACTCCACCGCAGATGTATTCAGAGTACTTTGCTGTAATGCTGCCGCCGCATCGACGGGTCCACATATTGTGGATGCTTGACATTTTGTTATGCACTTTTTATGACAATTCATTGAACAATCACGGCATTGAACTCCATCTTTCAGCCAAATTTTTCGGCCGCAAAAATCACATTGTGTTGACGATTGAAAATGCTTCCGTTGGAAATTATGCTGACGCGAAACGTTCACATCACCTTTTTCCTCCGTTAGTTTTTCGGCACTTGAGGATAATCTGGAAAATCAAATGGTTAATTGATAAATCCATAACCAAACAAATACCAAACTTACTTCATATGTTTCGTCTTTTTAATTGAATCAGAGCCTGCGGCAGTTGATCCGCCTGTCCATGAGAATGACATTAAAACATCACCGAAGCACAGATTTGGATCGAAGCCAGCTTGTGAAGACAATAGATGTGTCGACAAATCCGGTGTATCCGGTGGATTTAATTTGAATTGTTTGATGAAATGTGCTAGAGTTGAATCGCTACATTCATAAAGAACATTTTGAATAGGAATATTGTTATAGCCCAACAAAATAGTTTCATCGTTACACCGCCCCAATACATTCAAATTTAAAAATTGTGATTTTTGGTTTAATTTGAACTGACACAAATCGTTAATACTGATAAAAGTGTTTACGGCACACTCAATCGTTGAATGCATTTCGTATTCGTTTTCATTTCGTTCCGTATCGGTATCGGTGTCTGGGTCGCTTTTCATTTTTGTATTCACTTTTACCGGCGTTGTACATTTTACCAGATCATCCGATTGTTTTGTGTCGCTTGGATTATTACGATTTGTACCTCTATAGCGTAGTTTACTAGTAATATCATCTTTGCTTTTAATCGGTGAATTGGTGGGCGTATTCGATCTTGAGCCAGACTCCGTTGATAGTTTATCAATCGAACTTTGTCGCACATTTTTCGATATTTGAACTGTGTCGGCCGTTTTTGAAAAACTAATATTTATATTAACATCATTGATTACTTCATACGATTCTTCATCGGTATCACCGCCAACCGCAAATGAATTCATATCACTTTTTATGTGACCGGCAACGATTCGTTCAATTCTTAGAAAAAATACCGGACGATTAAGACTTTTTACAATTTTTGCAATTTGATTGATGTTACTGATCTTTTTGCCTTCAATTGAAACAAGCATATCACCTTTACAAAGTTCAGCCTTCATTGCTGGCGTATTTGGAATGATTGCATCGATTAGAACCGTTTGTTCAATTTGTTTGAAAATGATTCCGATCTGTTGATTTTTGGCTTTGTGAATTTCAATATCAAATGTGCACAAAATATTTCGATCATCATATTGCGTAGCAGTGACCCAGGCCATTGGTGCCATTGTTAACGTACAAAATACTTGATTCACGTGACATGGCAACGACAATCGCGTTAATTCAGCCACATTCACATCTAAGGTACCATCGAATTGCACCTCAGACAAATCAATATCGTCATCCGCCGTATTGTGGAAGAATGGCTTGTATCGCAATTTGTAATTGGGTAACGTATGCTCTGAAATAAACGAAAATAATCAATTTCTTTTATAAAACACGAAAGGAATTAAGAAAAACACTTACTCCTGCGAATGGCCTTTCGAATTTGATTCGAAATTAAATTTGTCACGTTCGATTGAGACACCAGACGTGACCCTTGGAATTGTGTTTCGATGTCAAGCTCAATGGCAGGGTCGCCCATGAACACAAGTGACCAATGAGTATACGGCTTCCTTGTGAAATTTAATCGAGCCAAACCGGAAACGTGGTTCACTGCAAGCACATAAAATCCAAATTATTCGTCGTTCATTCATGTTAAACCATTAAACAATTCATTTATGTTAAACGCCAAACCATGCGGAATAGTCACCTTTAATGGACAAAAATCCTTTCTTGCCAAGCACCATATCCGCATCAATTGACAAATGAAAGTTTCCGTGATAGTCCAAGTCAAGTAAAAGTTCAACGTTCTCCAAATGCCCTTCGGTGTCGTGCAATTCGGCATTCAGAATTTTAATATTTCTTATTTCCGGAAACTGTGCGCCCAAATCCAAATCACGAATCTACAATATGCCAAAAAAAAAGTCAAACAAATAAGTCAAGTGTGAACGTGTCAATTTGATTTATGTATGAGACAAAACCATAAAAATGTCAATCACATCTTACCGAAAGTTTTTCAAATAGTTTTCCAGTTGTGGTCTTTGTGATTAGTTCGTCAAGTTCAAGTGATAATTTACGATGGAACCATTTACGAACACGATTGGCATTTCGTAGTTCGAAAAAGAGAAATTGAAATATCAAATTGAATGCAATGGTGGGGTTACGATTTTCCAATTCGGGTGAATGTATGCTGCCCAAAATTGCCTGTGTCAACCAAAATGATGGTGGTATGAGAAAATCATTAATTTTTATCGATTGATGAACAACATTGACAACAAACCATTTTACTGCTAACACGTCGGAGAATGATGTGCACGCATAAAATATTCAATAAAGTAGTAAACGTGTTACCTTTTCAGAATCAAATGGCCTATAAAGTGACCCATTCATCGTTTTCTTTTTTTCATTATTTTCTACACACGGATCGTGGCTTGTACACAAAATAACAGGGCAACGTTGACTTGCAATTAGTAAGTTGTGTACGGTCGTGTGTGATACGTGGATTTATGTTTACTTTTTGTCACTCGCTCGAATAGGTTTCACCTGCTTTCGTGGCTAAATGCAATTAGAAAACTTTTGCCATAAATCAATTATTGCAAAAGTTTTGCCATCATATAGGAACACCAACTAAATTGAACAATATACGCGCAATCACAACATATATATTTTATCGATTTATTTTGGTCTCCGTGCCATTTTTTAATCTGAAAACTGTATCCATTGGTTTTAGGACAATGAGACACAAGTCTCTGAATGTGAAATTGTGTACGTATTCCTTGGCATAATAAAAATGTATGAAACAGAATTTGTTCGTGCCAAAATGGTAGTAGTGTTGTCAGTGTTGTTTCGATGCCAAATAAATCATATATATAAATACTTACGTCTGGTAGCTGGTATCTCTCGTTCAGCGAACGATTTCGTTGTGATGCATTGGGGTCATTGTCCGGCTGATTAAAATATTTGATGAAGATATAATATTGCACAAGTATCATCAATACAGCGCCAATGACCAATGAGATCAAACAAAATAAAAATATACTCGTCAAATCCATAGTGGATCGTTGGATTTAGAATCTATGGTTAACGATGAATTCAGCGAAAATCAACAAAACCACACGCTCAAACGATGAGAGATGAGACAATGGCGATGATTGCAATGGAAGCAGTGTCATTTGAATTATCTACGCTATGCATAAATGGAATATGCACAAGCACATACACAAGAACGCTCAAATATTTGCCTTCTTGCGATGTAAAGTCTGCAAACGAAACAAAACAAAAAGAAATGAAACTTCAATTCACTTAAAAAACAAACACATCAACGTACATCACGACTTAAAATGCCAGCAATGTAGCTTTTTACAAAGTGATTTTTGCTATCAACATTGGTAAATCAAACAACCGATTTATAGATTAAAGTAAAAATGATACGATTTCGATTGTTTATTTTCCTTTTATCACAATGAAAGTGAGATTGTTAAGTGTTGACTGTTAGTTTTTGCAATACAAATGTTAAAATGTCTGGATGCGAACTTCGACTGACAGTCGAATTTACTAGATGTTATGATTCGATACGGTATTTTTGCTGATTCTCTCTCTTGTCGTTGATTGTTTCTCTCTCTCGCTTGGCATGGGGTAGGGGTTGCTCTCCATGCAAAAAGTGGAGAGAAAAATCAATAGGATACTTATTGCGCACGCGTTTCCCTTTTTTCTGTATATTCATGTGTCAATATCGTTGGATCGTAGACAGAGAATGCTGTTTCACGTTTACAGTATGGTTTTTATTCCATCTGCACGTAATGTGTCAGACTGTCGGTCGGCGAAACATTCGTTATTAGGAGAATGAGCTTTATATTTCTCCTCCGCACATTTATCCCGCATTCAAATTTCATGCCTATTTGACTTCAAACCGAGATAGGAATATGACACTTCAAAGTGAAATTTCATTGTAAAAATATCTGTATGAATTAATTGTCTGTTCAATTGATACTTGAAACTCAGATTGTCGCACTGTTCATATTTCTTTAAATGTCTGTTTGGCATTTTTATAGCATCGGCATATTCTTGTAAATATATCCAATTACAAACATGAACCGTGTTCTATTGTGTCAATTGAAGTACTTGACGCGACGCTTTTTTTTCTCTCGTTTTCTTCAACATTGTTCTATGTACGTGCACCGTTTTGCAAATGTCTTTATCGTTGTATTTTTAGACGAACTTTTTGCCGCGAGCAAGCAAACACACAAGAGTTTTAGTTTAATGACTTAGGATTTGCGTCGAATGTGAAGGGAATATTGTAACAGTTCTTCTCAGTACAATGCCTGGGCAACGACTTTAAGATACAAAACTAAAATCGTTGAACCAAAAGACGTCAAGGGTCATTGTTGCGAACGATAAAAATAGGCAAAATGTCCACCGGGTACATTCAACTTATTTGATGATCCCAAATGAATTGACGATAGACCATAATCTAAATGGACATTTCCATTCGAACCATTTTGTTCCCATCGAAAATTGTGAATAGAAGTAAAAAAAAAACACAAGATAAATTTGCGTGTGTTGGCCATTCACTAAAATCCAATTATACCGAAATCCACCAAGAAGAGCAAGTTCGACAGTTTTCCGTCGAACAAATGATCAACGAGCATTGAGTTTGCTGCGCACAAAAGTGGAAAATGATTTTTCGTCTTTTCAATTGAATTATTTTCTTTTTGCGTCTCAAAACTTTTCCGACAATTCAATGACACGACGCACATATCGCGTTATTGTTCGCAGAAACAGCGGTAGTTGTCCTCTACTCGTTTTGTTCGATCGCACAAAAAAAGTGAAAACATTTGCACGAACTGGGTGACACAGAAACACGCACAATTTTAATGAGGATGAAAAATGAATGAACAAAATAAATGTTTTCAGGAGCAAATGCAAAACGCGTCCAAGAAATATAATTTTGTCACATTGGAAATTGAGCGCACTAAGAGAGCTGACACCATTAATTCTCACAAATATTTCCGATAGAATTTAGAATGAATTACTGAAAACGATAAAATTCAAAACAAAGCCATTGGTTTTTGTGTACACAGGCATCACGTGGCTAATATATAAGACGAATATTGTTTTCGTAGAAAATAAATACCTCACAAGAGAGTGAGATGAAAGAACTTTGGACATATAGATTCATTTTCAGCCTCCAATGAGTAACATCACAGCTGGATCTATTTTTAATCGTTCTCACATGCGAAAAACCCCTTTGTGCATATATAAATTTCTGATCTTTTTTTTCTCTCTCTTTCTTGGCTCAAACAACATTTGGCGCATCGCAAAAAGTTCCGAACAAATAAACGGCATTGCAAATATTTGGAAAACAGATGCTACACTGCTATCAGTGTGTAAATAAAATACAAGCCCCGTTGGGAATATTCAAATATGATTGCATCGAGCCAGTCACAATGAATTTTCCATTGCCAATCAGTAGTTTCTTTTTCTCTCACTGTTATTAAATTAAATCAAAAGTATGGTTTTTTTATTTGAATTCTAGATAAAGACGATTCATGATGTTCTATTTATCATGAATTTGAATTTTTTTTTTGTGACTTGAATTTTGTTATTGAGGTTTTTCCTCAAAAAATTTCAAATAAAGAAATTAGTCACCGAATCGCATGTCATAGTTTTATCTTAAGACTTTATTCATCAATAGTAAAAATGAACGATTACTTTCACCAAAATGAGTCGTATAGTATGAGTATGAATGAAAATGTCAGATTTCGCTTAGTTTCTATTAAAATCGATTTACTGCACTTCTAACATAAATATTTTTAACGAGGGTTTTGAAAAAAAAAAACAAATCAGCATTTGTTTGTCAACACCATTTACGTCAGAATAAAAAAATTAAAAAAAAATCCAAACATTTCTTTGGCACTCACCTGATTTATGTAGTTCAGAGGATCATTTTGATTCCAATTCAAAAACACTCACACTCATTCACTCATACATTGAACGATGCAATTGTTTATTTGCAGCGTCAATTTATTAATGTTTACAAACAATATTATTCACAGGATTAAACAAACAAAAAAGTACTGTGATGAGTAAATTTCTATAAAATTTAGCTATTGCAAAACAAAAGAGTGTGTTTCTTTGTCGTTGTTATGGTGGCACTCGCGCTCTCTTTTTTTTCTACGCTTCCAACAAAGAAAGTCACAGTAAGTGAAGAGAGCATTTGGATACACTACACACAGTCATCGAACTTAAGTTTGTGTGTTGAACTAGTAATAAATGAAATGAAGCATAAGCTAGCGATCATATGTGTATGTATAGATCTGTGTTGGTGATACATCATCATACATGCACATGTTGTTATATGTCAAGTTTTGACATATACAAATGTCATTAGGGTCATATGAAAAGTATCTGGCAATAGAAATGAAAAAAAAAACCTGTACATAACCTCAAATTAAATTTAAATTTAAAAAAATACATCCATGGAAAAATTTATGCGGAAATGTGAAAAAAATTAATTTTCAATGGGCCGACGAAAATTGTCTCGTAAAAAAAAGAAAACAGAATTGGCATCATCATTCGTCACTCGATTGTGATGCTTCTGTAATGCGTTTTAATTAAATAACGCGTCAAAACGTTCACTTTTTCATCTTTCGCGCTCGACAAAAACGATCATAAATACAAACAAACCAACGAAACACGCGCAGTCAACTCATACATGCACACTAAAAGTGCACACATCCAAAGGCCAAAGCCTATTGCACACCACTGTTTACACTCTGCTCGTGTTCAAATACGATTTAAAATGCTACGCATATGCGCGTCAATGTTTTCGTCTCTTCTCTCTCACGCTCGCACATAATTTGTATCGCGTTTTTTGTTTCGTTCAAATCGTCGTTTGGCTAGATTTTCATATAAAATCAGCTGTTTCACTGCAGCGCAAAACATTTAAAAAACGGAAGTCTACTAGTTCGTTATATCTTAAAGCAATTTCAATTATTGAGAGAAAATTTTTTGTGAATTAAATTGAAAGCGAATCTATCGATATTTTTTTGAGTAAATCAAAATATTGTCGTATATTTTTTTTTGCTATTTTGAAAGAAATTAGCAGCAATTTTAAGATTTTTCTTTCTTTTTCATACGAAGAAAATTGAAAATTGTTACAAATTTTTCGTGCAAAATTGTGAGATAGTGAAGTGAAATCAAACGCGTTAATATAATAATTTAATTGAAAGTAAAATAAAAGAAAATTCTTTGTAAAAACCAGTTCAAATATCAATACAATCAAACAAAATGCCACCAGCAGCCTCAAATTTCGGACAAGATATCACCAACACCACAAATCCAAACGATGGATCCAACGAATTAAATCGCAATCAGCTACAAAACATTGAACGCATGGGAGGCACATTATTGATTCCACGTGTAGCTGGACGAGGCGTAATTAAAGTCGTTAAACGGTGTGACGATGCCAAAGAGAACAATGAATTAGGTAAATTCAAATGTACACAGAAAATCTTAAACCAGTTTTACAATTGAATAGATTGAAGGAGGAAAAAAAATTGTAGTATCCTCGTAAATCTCAGTAGACAATTCGATTTTCGATGTAGAATAATTTGTGTCATAATTATAACTTGATCGAATATGGCCATAAATTTCAAACGCACCATTTTCAGCATATTCATTTAGTCTATTTGTGCTTCCATTTCTAGTCATTCTCGGTACTATAATTATTCTACAACATATTCCCATTTAAACGTTTCTGTAGTGTTTCACCTTACAATAAGTAAGGTTTTGATTTACGTCTCGAAATCTGTCTGTAATGAAACAATTGTTGCCAATACAGATACAATAAAGAAATATCGGAAATGTTGAAAATTCATATGCGATAAAATAATGGCAAAAGCATCGAACGGGCGGACGAATGAATTCAATTTCAATACGTATAATTAACAATTACGCTAAAATGGATTGAACAAAGCTACGGGTCGTTGATTATAGTTTTCTGTTGTTTTCATATTACAAACGGTAGCACCAATTAATTACTAAAATAACACTCAATCGAGAGATGTTATCCGGAATTCCACCGTTTTAACATTTTCAATGATGTTCATGACCTTCGTAAAAGATTTGTATGCGCCACTTCTGCGCTCCGCACATTTACATTTGAACAAAACGCTTCGATTCAACAACAAAAAAAATCGAATGAAGGTGATTAGTGTCAGATTTTGAATAAAATGCGATGTGAACGTTTCGACACATTTCGTAAATTGTGTGTGTCTCAAATATACATTTGCAGCAATTGCATTTCACATTTCAGTTTGACAAACAAAGAAAACACAAAACAATGCTCTTTGTTCTGAAAATGCCGAGTTTATCTGCGAAAAAAAAAACCGCGCACATACGCATGCCAGAAAATAGTCACATTAAAAGACAAAATGAATGTTTTAATAAAAGCCCTTACTTCTGTAGATAATCGCTCAGAATATATTTAAAGATCTTTCTCGGCTTGTTTTGCGTCTATTTCAGAAACCATGGACCGTTTGCGAATTGTGCCTAAAAAATTCACTTCATTCTATAAATAATTTGAACGAAAAGCATAAAGTACTTTAAGCACAAAATACAACAGCTCGCTCGTATACCTATGGTCTCTGGTTTACCATTTCGACGCAATTGCAAAAGAAAAATGCAAAATAAAGAGAGAAAAAAAAATCAATGTCTGGATTTTAGGTTCATGAATTCTCGGCTAATAACGCACAAAGAGTGATAAATTCATGGTGCGTTCAAGCATGTTATGTTATTAAACCGCATGCATGCATTTCACATATATATATTCGACTTTATCGTCGATGTGAATCATACACGTTCTCTCGTTCACCGTGTATCGTTGAATAAGCGCTTGTCTATTGCATGATTTAACGTTAGTCACTCACAGACTTTCAGTGCAACGAGCGATTTGATTTTAACATCACTGTACTGAAATCTATATCTATTATGTATGCTTGCCCTAAATACAATGAATTGACAATCAGCTTGCGGTGTTCACTTGAACAAGCACACACACACATAAAACCACCAAAATTGAATATTGGAAATTGGACGAAACGTAAAAGCAAAATCTGTCACAGATTATATTACGCTCAATTTATTGTGGAAATGTGCGTTCAGATTTGTTGCTCAAACTTTCAATAATGAATTTACGTCAGTCAGTCGTGTGCACGTTCGATCAATCGTATAAATTAAAGTACGTCGTTTTATTTGTTTCAACACAACAATGAATAATTGGTCGTTGTGTTAATTTTATAAATACAATTTACGCGAGATTCATTCCCTGGCGCTCTGTTACCGATCATTTCGGTTGTATATTGTTTCAATCGCTGTAATCACACACGGTATACAATTTCTGTTTATTTTCAGCACCAAACGAGTAATCTTTTGTAACAAAGCGAATCCAATGATTTTTTTTTTACACCAATCGGTGTGATGCATGCATTCGTTAATAATGTTGTAAATTGTTTTTTGTTTGTTTGTTTCTTCTGCAATTAATTTAAAGAATGGCTGCGAAAAATTGGTTAAATATAACATTTAAAATGTTTTTGGCATTTAATTTGGCGGAGAAAAAAAATTTCAGAATTTTAAATTTGAAGCGCAAATATGAAATAAGATCAATCTATCGATGCAACACACGATTCGATAATCACTGGTGATTAATAGGTTGCATCACATCGCACGGTTAATCGATACTTTTATACAAACGAGTTTCCATTCCATTGGATTCTTATGCAAGCTCCATTTTCTGTAGAGGAATTTTACGATTCGCAGTATTTTATTTTATTGTTTCGATTTTTCGTAAAAACACTCAAAGCATAAGGTGTACAAATGAGAAGCGAAAGCATGATTAAACATTGAAATCGTTTTCGCATTCGATTATTATCATCGCACACCACACCAACGAGCGCACGTTCCGCATTATTTTCATTTGTACTAAATGCTTCACATGTGCTTTTTCTTTATCGATAAATTACATGCGAATAACATGTAAATATCATTTCCCAATCGATTTCGGGATGGACGCATGTGACTTTTGTTTGATACACAAGTGAATTGTTTCCAGTAAAAGTTGCACTTTGAAAGTGACTTGTATAGAAAAAGTTGATCTTGAATGCCCCTGAGTGAATAAAGAAGAGAGCCACATGTACACGGTCATCGTTTTCAATTTTTGTTGCATTGAAACAGTTCAACAATTGTACCAATGGAAAATTCAGTCCTCGTTTAAAGAACGCGCAATTTCAGTCAGATGTTTTGTGCTTTACACGCGTCTACAGTTATTTGTTTTGCAATTTTGTTGTTTTTCAAATTTTCTTTGTGGCATGTTCCGCTATAAATTTTCTATTTTGCGTCGCAAATTTGTTCGCTTGATTCATTCAAAGCCATGTTTTTTAAAGCAATTTATATGTGGACTTTTAATTACAACTGAGTTCATTGTGTTTTGTGCGATGACTTTTGTTTTTTTTTTTTGCTCTTGTTGAGATTTCATCTCTTAGTCGATCTGTTTGGCCGAGTGCCAATTGACGGAACAACGACACATTTTGTACGGCAAAAATCAGATGCGAATTAAGAGAACCCATTACGTGGAAAATGCACAGTTTCTAGCACATATGCGATTCATTTTGATTGCGCTTGAAACGAATTTCGGTCAAAAATTCAATAATTTGCATTAATAAAGTATGGTCACGGCTACACCATTTTCCAATCATTTGTTTGTCACTCATGACACAAATAGTCGATGTGCGTCGTTCATTTTTCTACGAAACAAGTTTGAAAATTGCGTCTCTTTTCGATGATTTTACATTGACAATCAAACAAAAGAGAATTCCCTTGGAATGGCCATCGTAGCGATACGCCAAACGATTTCATTTCAAGGAAATTCCTTATCACTTATTAACCATTATGATTCAGATTTTAATTGTGTGTGATCTTCGATCGTGAATACTAGATTGATTATAGAAAAAAAAATGCGGCAATTTGCCTTCCGATGACTGCAGTCAACCAAAAACGCTCTTTTTAAAATTGAATAATAGTGAAGAATTGGTCGGAAGACTTGCATTACATCGACACTATTTCAATATAGTAAATAAAATTGGAATTTAAATGAAAAAGCAAAAGAAAATGAATAAAACAAATACCATGTTTTAACGGAGCAACAAATTATGGAAATTTTGTTTACATGCATGTTCATGTTTAATTTTTTTCTTCATTTTCGCTTTTATTTTCTCTATTTTGGTTGAAGTGCATGTTGTTATTTTTTTTTTTTTTTTGTATTCGGCATACAAGTCAAATCATTCACAACATACGGATGCACAATCCAAACGCATTCGTTGGACTGATTCAAAGACGCACATAAAACAAAGAGCAAATTGTGAAATTTCATCGTTGCATATCGTAAAACTTCATTCTTGTTATATTTTATTTTCATCGCACGCAAAACATATGCAACGCTACTAGGCTAGTCTACATTTTACAGTGCAACGATTTCTCAGGTCATTTATATTGTTCGAGATATCTGTGGTTACACACATATAACACATTTCTTTTCAATAGATAAATCGCTTTAATTGACCTTCACTTTCTCTGCGCTTCATCACGAACAAACGTATCGTTTTGGGGTCGGATTCAACTCCGAATAATGTGGTTTCATATCAATCATACAATAGATTTACACTTCGTCGAATTTTCTGTGTGAAAATTAATTGTCCTAGTGCATCGTATTTGTGTTTATCAAATAGATGAGGATCCGGAATGAGTTTCACAGCCGAGGAGAAAGCTTCACGTTCATGCAATGTCTTCTGAAAACTATTAATCATTTTGAATAAACCAATTTTTGCAAAAAAAAAGCGAATCTCCTTAAACTAGAGCACATTTTTTGCAAACCCATTCGTTGTCTGTTTTAGATAGTCTGATGAACTTCAAAACCATTAATCGTCGGAGCATTAGCCATAGCGAATTGCGCTAGGGAATGAAGACCTCTTCAATATAATTTTCTTAATTATTAAAGTTTCAACCGTCTGTTAAGCTCGAAAATTTGCTCCAAAACCAAGGTCAATATTTGGAATATTTTTTTTTCGACAACGCAAATAATTCTCGAAATCTGTGAGTGTGTTATTTAGCGTCTTCATTATATTCACACTCCAACTCATTGAGAGTGTTGACATTTCCGCAATAATGTTACCAAATTGTCTGTCTCTTTAAATTCGACGTCGCTCTATGACGAAAATGTGGAACGTGTGCGCACGTCAAATGCGTCGTCCGTAAGCGATGCGCGTGCAAGACAAATATAAACAATAACAATCATATCTGAACGTTTCAATTACGTATTTAGCTAAGAAGAAAAAAAAACGTTTAAGAAGCTAAAATTAACGATATATCTATTCTTTCGTTCCCATCCCCAAGTTCTTCATTATTTTATTCGTTCTGTTCGGCGAAAATGAAAAAAAAAAAATAATTTATTTTTGGCGCTCTTCGTCTTCGCCGAAAGTATAACACATCGATAAAAACGTAATACGTAAATTGTGACTTTTTGACATTTCGGTGACTAAGAATTTAAGCGATTCAAAAGAGAGAAAAACCCACGAACCGATGAAATCACATTGTCGGAAAATATATTTTGATCCAATATTTTCTTTTCTCGAATTGACGTCTGCGAGTCTCTGTTGAATGATGTTTGTTCGGTTGATTTGTCACTTGGCATAGGAAAATCTCCGAACATTTACGGTTTAAGTGTGTAAAATATTCCGCGAATAAGAGAAAAGGCAAAAAAAATGTGTGACTTTTAAAATTGTTGTTTTGTGGTGTGCTGAACATTGTGACCGCGTAATTTATTTTTAGAATTTTCGTGTATGTTCAAAGGAAAATTAATCGTATTCACAATAAATGATGTGAAATAGTGATTCTGGTAAATTCGAAATTTATCTTTGACACGTTTTTTCCACCTCATCGGTTTCGATTTGTGCCCACTTCAATATCGAATTCATCAAACATCATAAATTGGCTCAAATTTCATCGTTTCCAATTGAAAGTTGATCAAAACGTTCAACCGCAACCAATACCAAAAAATTCACCAAATTCAAGGAAATTCAATTGTGACTTTAATTTATGTGCATTTAATAAATTTCGGTGAAATGGCTAATCAAGTGGTTCAAGTTGTATTGCGTTGTGAAGCGGCGGCTGAAACAGAACATCTGGGTAATAATTCAATTTTTCGACAGAATTACCGACCAAATTGAAACTCATTGATTTTGAACAAGCACACACGCTCATAATTAAATTGGTATTCGTTTTTGGCATGCATTTTTTTTACGTTTTTGTTGGTGGTTTTTGGCGTAATTCAATTTTTTTTTTTGTGCGCGATTCTTCACACGAGTGTTTGTTTTTTTATTACAAAAACAAACATTTATAGACCATTATTATTAAACAAAATAATAAGTGCATAACGGTCTACAGGGCTTGAATCACAAGTCACACATGCAACACATCACAATGTGACTAAAGCTGAGTAAAATTGCGTGAGGTGCAGAGCTCAGGGAGAATTGAAATGATTATATGATCTACAAAAGCCGTCAACATAATAAATTATATATTATTACATAGAGTGCACATCATTCAATTGCATAATGATTAAAACAAACTGACGTGAAGCGTTCATTCATTATCGTTTTCCTGTGCATTATTTTCGACATTTATTTTACTTAACAGCTGTTTTTAATTGTCGGCACTGATTTGATTTTTATTATTACTGTTAAAGAATTTTCATTTCGCATGAATTATGTAAAATGGAAAATTAGACAACCTATTTTAACTCGAATTAGAATAATTTGTGAACAAATGTATTAACAATTGTACGAATTAACTAACCATTTGATTTGTTTATTTTTGTTTCACTTTTAGATCTCTCCGAGTGCCAATTAGTACAAGTACCAGATGCTGTATGTATAAATATCACATTTCAAAGCCATTTTATTATTTTAATATAGAAGATAAATATTTTTTTATGATCTAGGTTTACCATTTGATGCGAAACACGGAACTGAAAACTTGTGACTTGAGCTCAAATGTTATTAAGAAAATACCACCAAAATTTGCGATGAAATTCAGTTTGATTACAGGTAATTTTTTGAAAAATTGAGAAATGAAAATGTAACAACCATAATGTTGGCTTTTATTTATTACAGATTTGAATTTGTCAAACAATCAAATTAACAAACTACCAGATGAACTGGCAGATCTTGGACAATTGTTGCGATTGGATATTTCACATAATTTGTTCTTGTCATTGCCAAAGGTTGTGTTCAAAATGCCAAAATTGCGTCAACTAAAGGCGAACAATAATGCAATCATCGGTAAGTTAATAGGGCAATCAATCATTTTTGTACATTCGACAAAGATGGAACGAATTTTATATGTTTTCTTCTTCTTCTTCATTTTCATCCTTGCAGACGTTGAAACGGATGAAATAATCACAACCGAATCACTTGAATTGGTCGACCTCAGAAAGAACCCATTGACACCACAATGTTTGGATCGGCTACGCAATGCTCGTGTATCATTTCACATTGAACTGCCGGAACGTGTAAAAGAGGACTGGGAAGATTTGAGCGTTTAAATCCAATCAATTATTTTTTCTATTCACCTTCGATATATTGAATCCTATTGGATTTTTTATATATGTAGTAAACGTTGATCGTTTTTAGACGTTTTCGATGACATTATGTTCTATGTGATGATATTTTTTTATACAATCAACAACACAAGCCTAGACTTATAAAATTGCAAGTGCATCATTAGGTTAAGACTATAGCTAAAAAAAATGATGAGCTCCGTTCTCATATTTAAAAAAAAAAGAAGAAGAAAGTCTGGTGCATTAAGCGTCGAGTGACACAATAAATCCAAACAAATTCATCCAAATTGTGATCGTTGTCCATCAATCATTGTTACTTTTTTTGGTCACTGTCAAGTATTATGTGAAGGATATTTTGCCTCTCATTATTTGTTGTAGGAGTGATTTAAGTGTGTTTTCTTGTTCGCTCGTGTACTAAAACTCTTTTACATATGTAGTTTTATATTGAAACGATTCAGTTATATGTTATCATGTTGTTTGGAATCAAAGTCGTCCAAATATCGGATTCCATCCATTTATAATTGAAATGAGGCTATTCCGTCAAGTCAAGTAGCAATTTATTTAAACCTTAAGTTAAGAGGTTAATGCATTAACAAATTGATCGGTTTTTAAAGCGTAACAAACCAAATTAGATTAAGTACCGAATGAAATACTCAATCCAATGCCAAGACTGTTAACATCCAAGCCGATTATTTACGCATATATATATTGTTTCTAACCAAATTATCCGGTTTTTTTGTATTATCGTTGTTTTCTTGAGATGCTATATTATAATAATTTTTTTAACAGAGTTTGATAAAACGTGATTATGGACAAGAAGATGTAAGAGTGATATATTGAAAAATGATATAATCATTCATCTTTTGAGTTCTTTTTTTAAGTTTATAACGAAAATTTTGAGACAACTTTGAAGAATTGATAGATAAATTTAATGAGATATATATATATTTTATGTTACGATATAGTATTTATCTGTATATTTACCATTTTTGTTGTAGTTCATGTATTTTACCTGTTTGTTCTTTTGAATATAAATTCAACCAAATCCACCATATTCTGTATAAATTGTAGATAACCAAAATCAAATCAATCGCATAAATTCGGTTGTACTATCAAATTTGTTACTAAATTGTTAAATAAAAAAAAAACAATAAGGAACTACACAGAAATGCAAGGCGTTTTCTTACCCCACACATCTGTTCGCAGAAGAGTCTGTCTTTTTTTTTTAAATCAAAACACATCATCATCTGAATACTTTGAAACATTTTATTTACACAATAAACACTTAATTACTTGCAAACACTGATTCAATCAATCACATATAATTAATTATCTTATGCAATATATTCTTTTGATTAGACTGTTTTTATTTCACTTAATTAAATGTCATTTAATTAAATTCTGTTAATAATAATGAATATAATTTCTCTTAAACATGAACGCCAATTAAATCATCTTCATTCCTTCATCTTTATTGTATCATCAATGTGGTGAGCTTAACGATAGTTATAGAGATTCTAACTAATCTGCTGCTACATAAAATTTTCATTTTTGGTTGACTGAAATGCTTTGGTAACACATATATAGATAAATATTTCATTCATTTTTATTAAATATTTTATTATTTATTGTTAGTTTTTAAAGATTCTTTTGATAAAATCACCATTTGTAGGTTTCCATGAATTGTTTTATGTACAAAAAAATTGTGTGTGTTTTTTTCCTTAATCTCCTTCATCATTCGCTGGTAGGCAAAAATCATCAAAAAAACATCATCTGTCAATTGACCCGCTTCAATCCGATATCATTGTATGCATTACAATATAATAGAAAAAAATGTGTGCTGTCATTCTGTGCATTCCGTATAAAAATACTCACTGATTCTGAAATCAGATCTGTTTTGTTTAAATTTTCTTTGTTTTTTTCTTTAATTTCGTCAATTTATGTCGAACATTGACATGTTCAAATCGAAAATTTCCTGAAAAACTGCCACCGATTAAATGGATGAAAACAGCGATAAATTTGTGCAATTTGTGGAAAGTTTTTGTAAATTACTTCGAATTTTTTTCATATCACAATTCTGGTCATTTTCCGTTGCTGCCGCACCATTTGTTGTGGTAGCAGCGGCCGTATCTTCGGTGCGTGCATCAAATTCGGTTGTTTCAAATCCGTCCTCTTCAATTTTTCGTGGCGGTACTTTAATCGATACTTTTGGTGTACTATTGTGAATATGATAATGGGAATGTGTTCCAGTCAAATTGAATAACGGAATGCGAAAAATTCGCAAAGGCTTTTGTTTTTCGGTAGCTTGAAGTGATTCCGTGTTTGCCGTAGCAAATTGGATTAATCTATTGTTATTTGGTGATTTTAAAAGACGAATTTTTGTGGGTGAATTTGGACTGTGCGACGTTGAATTCACTTTCGGTGAATTCGGTGGAACAGTTGGTTCATTTATATGTTTACCAGTCATTGAAATGTCATGTTCGGGTTTATTGTTGGCCGTACACGAATCACCACACGAATTACTTTTTGAAATCAAACGTTTTGAGTCGTCAGCCAAATTTCTCTCTTTTGGCTTCTGCAATGAACGTGCACGCTGAATGCACGGCGACTGATCGCTACGCGGTAATGGTAAAAATTTTGTAAAATTATCTTCAGTATTGATGTGTATCGGTGGTTCAAACTTTTCCACCGGTTGTGCAATTAGTTTTGATGGTGATGGTATGTATTTCTCGCTGCTTTCAATTCGCTGTTGTGCTTCGATTTTATCGATTTTATGCCGAATTTCGAGTATACGCTCATTACTAAATTCATTGATGCGACTGGGCCGACGACTTGCTGTTGATTCCTGTATTTGCTCATTTTCTAAACAACCGATGCGAAAATCCTTTGGTATGAATTCGGGCGCTGTGGTTGCAAAATAGATGTCACGCTTCGATGAAATTAATTGCAATTCTGGCATTGTGGCCGTATGAACAAGACTACCATTCACTAATAATCGAATTTCAATTGAATCTGGAGTAAATGCAATTATATACGGGAATGCACAGACAATTGATGTTGGCGATGTATTCCAATGAAAATCAAATTCGTTCAAATTGGTTTTGTTTTCATCTTGAAGCTTTTGGAAATGGCATGTATCTTAAATTAGAAGCAAACGTTGTACGAATGAATTTTCGATGCAACTTTGGCAATTATAACTTTGACTTACGATTGTAACACAGCAAAAGTTCCGTTTCATGGCCGTCACATAGATCGACAGCAGTTACCAATTGTGATTGGGATCGTTTTGACGATTCAATATCATGTAAACGGGTACAATGACCCGTTTGTTCACAAACAATTTCAAAATGATGTCTATAAAAAAGTGAATTTCCGAGACAAGAATAGAGTTAGAAAACTTTGGTTTTTAATAAACACACCAAATGGTGACATTGCTATTGTCATGTGTGTGTATGCTTACTTGTAACCAACGCACATAAGCAATCCAGTGCTGGCCGATGTGGGAGTATCCAAAATTGTTATAATACTAGGACTATCATGAAGGGTAATTTCCTAATAATAGTTCGGTAATCACCATGTTATTATATTGTATCGCTTATTTTCAATGTCGGTCTGTGTACTTACTTTTTGAAATAAGAAACCGTCAACAGTTTCCATGTCGTTTGTTGATGAACACCATGATGTCCAAGCGGCCGTGTATTTCCATTGAAATGTTAAAATCTTTCGACCAATGGTCACAACCATTCTCAAATGTCCGTCGCCACCCTTTGAAATAGCAAACAAATGGCATCCGCGCGTCTTTTCAATGCGACGATCCTTAACATCAATTCGAGATCGAATTTTGATAATTTCCTCTTTGAATTCCTTGATGCGGAATACATGAATTCGATGGCCATCTTTATTGGTGGCACTTCCGCCACGAATCAGCATAATACCATGATCCTCAACGACACTCATTTGTCGCACACAAAACGATTTATCGAACACACTCTGATAGCTTTGGTCCTCTCGAATAAGAAATGTCCCTTCATCACAAGCCAACACCAATGCATCATGGCCAATTGAATCACCTATCATATTGCCACGATATGGAAAAGCTGCATAAAAACATTGCGGTTCCCATGGTGATCGTTTGAAAACCGATCCCGGTCCCGTCGATGCCAAGCTGGTTGGCGCATCTCCGCGTACTAAACAAAGTTTGAAAAGAATTTTCAATGTAACATTTTTTGCTTTTAATTTTTAATCATGGTCCAACTTATATTACCAATCGCTTCAAGTTTCAACGCCTGTCCAATACGAACAAATTCCACTTGACGTGCATCTTCTTTTAACTTCGAGGTACGTGGTGCATCGTACAATACCTCTGAAAATGCACGCCGATTCAGCATATTCTATTGACGCAAATGAAATCCAAAGTAAATATAATAAGTAATAAATTGATGCCAATGGTTTTATATCGTATATATCCATTGGCAATAAATATAAGACTCACCGTTTTTGTATCATGTGCATATTCTTCGTACAAGTCTTTGATTAACATTTCAAGCGTGCGTTCACGTTTCCGTGAAAATGTGGGTGTTTGAAATGTTGCCTTTTCACCGTTGATTAACTTTACAAGAAGAAACTCTCGAAATGCAGCAACATCCTGAGGATAAGTTAAGGAAAAAAAAGAATAAGTCAAACTAAATACGCACATATAACCGAACATAAAGACATGTATCGCATGTTATTTTGTTATTTAAGACGGATTTGCCACAGATCTCATGCGTTTCCATTCGAATGAACGTGTGCAAGTCGATAGCTTGTTGTAATCTTTGTAAATCTACTTTGGTCAAAGTCTAAGCATGCTATTTTTACCTGAAAATCCGGAGGGTTGGGAAGTGTTGGTCCAAAAGGGGGTACTGTTTCGTCGCAAAATACCGACAGCCTGTAAATACCGTTTTGCTTTGTGACCACGGCAAAAATATCTATTTCATTTCAAGTCGATTAAGGAAAATTCTATTTTGCTCTCGTTTTCACATCCAAAAGATTTAATTTAATGTTTCGACTTCGGTTTTCAAGGGTCAAGAATCAAACAAAATAAAAAACTGGAAACCATTTGGAATGTTTTATGATCCATTGACTGATTTCGAAATATAAAAGATTTTTATTTATGCACAAGCAAATTTTAATTATGTTCATTGCAAAAAAAAAAGAAAATTGGTTTTTCTTATCCGAAAAGGCCATCGGACCGGGTCTGGCCGTTTATATATGTAGCCATGATGTAATTGGTTTTGGTACAATGTTTCTTTCGGTGGCAGAAAAAGTGTCACATACAATTTTGTACCTTTAGTGTAATTCAGGTGAAAAGAAACGTTTAAGCACAACAATAAGTCGCGACATAAAAGAATGAATCAAAATGGTGAATAGACTACGAAGTGGATATTAGACACCAGTCTCTAGTTTTATGGCTCAATTCAATGACTTGTCTTCCTTTCCGAATTTCTCTTTTTTCAGTTTTCTCTGCTTTCTTTTATTCACGAGAAAAATTCAATTATACTGTTACTGAAAGCAGAAAAATTCTATGTAAAAAAACTCTCAGGTAATAGGTCGGCCACAAAGTTCGAGTCACATCAAACTGACGAGGGTGTTTCAAAGTGACAAAAACAACGAAGATGTTGTAAAATGTCTTTGCCATCGTACATTTTTTTTTCTTTGCTCTCTTCAACGTTTATTCTGACATCAAAAACGATTGAACTAAATGTTGACTACAACTTTGGGAAGAAGAATGTTTTTTAATTGGATATCGATGCCGATCAAAGTTACGAAAAAAAAACAAATGTTTTAATTAAATGAAAAAAAAGTTAAACATGTATAAATTGAATTCAAAGAATACATCGAATGAAACGTGCTTGTCATTCTGACGATGGTCGATGGTGTGCTAATGAGATATCCATTTTAAAAACTTCAAATTGATTGGAATTTGTACTTGTAACAACCATAACTTAGCTTTCATGAAAACCAAAAATTCTACAAACAAACCGAAATCGATTATTTTTTTCGAAAAGGATACGTGTAAATTGGCTTTTGATGCAATTCGGCGAGAAGTCGCAGCTGTCGCCATCGATAAAAATAATGTTCACAATGTCATTACCAATATGACGTTTTCGTTCGACCTGCCAAATAAAAATTCATTCCAAATGAATAAAATTCGTTGAAAACGGTATAATTAAAATGTCAAACAAACATTTATAAATATATATATGGAAAAAAAGTTTGGTGTTGTGCGTGGGTTCGGAACTGTCAGCAGGCGTTTCAAATTAGTTTCAGAATATAGATATTGCGCTGTGGGAATGAAGTCATTTGTAGCATCAAATAGTTAAATTTTGGCAAACCTCTTCTTCCACCTGCCGTGTTGGGTAATGCGACTCTTATTTAACTTCACCTTTTGATTTCATCTGAGTTTCGAACAAAATGTACCAGCAAACAAACAAAAAATAAAACAATCTATTCATTCTTTTCGCTTTTCACTCACAGTATGCTTACGAATTTAATATTCTACCCTGGTATTGATTTTACATCATACGACACACAAAACCGTAATTTCCATATAAATTTATATGCTACGAAATTAGATTACAGAAGATCATCATGGAATACGTGAAAATAACAAAGTTCAAATGTTTGGAAAAGAAGTTTTGCTTTCGTTGTCGAATCATCTTCAGACAATCACATACACATACGATGAACGCCAAAAATGCTTTTCTAATGTATTTTATATGGAAATTTTGAGCGATGCTATTGTTAGATGTCTCAATGCTCATTCGATGATATAAAAGAGAATAATCTGAATTTATTCTCAAATTATGGTGGAGCAGGAAATATGTGAAACCAACAAGAAAAATGAAAAGAAAACCCAAACACACGCACAACTAACGACCACGAAATGAAAAAAAAAAAACGCATACACACCTGCTGTCGATTATCTCGAGAAAATGGTAATAGCGTTGAGACATGAAACATTATTTCGTGTCCTTCGTACAACGTATAAATTGAATATTTTCCTGTCATATCTCCTGCAAAAAAAGACGAATATAACAATGGGTATATTGTCACCATCAGTTGATGCTTCAACTACATTGACAGCGGAAAAAAATGCTTACCAACAGAAAAGCAAACAAATTTAAAGAATATCAAATAATTGCAGAGTTCAAAAATTATGAGAAAAAAAAAGTAAAATCTTTTGTAAAACTTTGTCCTTGTTTAACCCCCCCCTTAAATACAAAGTTGTTTACAAAACATGATTTCGTCTAAAAATAAACCACAATCGAAACCAATTTCCGTCCAAAGATGAAAACAAACAAAAAAATCGTAAGAAAAAATAATGGAATTATCCATACCTTTTACATCTAGACCGCCTCGAAATCGTTCCCATCCTTTCAATCGTATTTTTTCGCCTAGTATACCTAAAAATTCTTCAAAACTTTTACTTCCAAATTCTATGTGCGTGTCGTATGTTATTTTTTGTTGTTAGTGCCAATGATGCATAGTGACAGATCCCCGTGCACCATAAATATCCACAGACATACGCAGCTCAATCGAACCGGATGATGAAGCGTAATTTGTAGACATCATTTAATGTTTATAGCAGCAAAAAAACAGCAGGAAATGTGTAACCACCATAGATAAACGAAGCACAGAAAACATACAGACATAATAAAGATGCGATGAATTATTGAGCCCGAGTGAATGATGAAATGACATAGAGAAATTGGGAAAAAAATTGAGATGTATTAGATTTAGTACATTATTTTTTGCTCTCTTCCATCACAAATGTGTTACAATAAATGATTCTTTTTTCAAGTGTCCAAAATCTTGTGATTTTTTTTCATTCGCAACGCACTTTGCAAACATGGATGATCATTAATTATAAGTGTGTTGTGTACACCGAAAATATTTGGCGCTTTCAGACTGCTTATCATTTATAAATAATAATAAATCATTTTGCGTTGTTCACCGAACACCGTCAAACACACATTTCATAATAACAATGGAAATGCGTTGCAGTACAGTAGAAAGGTGAATTTTCGGGATAAATTGTGATTATAATGTCAACGGGTTTAAAGATAATTATTGTCTGAAACGCAAATTGTGAATATGACTCATTACGAATGTATGTGTCATAGAGTGTTGGAGATTGCAACGCTGATTGGAGACAAACAATGAAATTTCAATGAAAATAAATAATTCAATAATAAAAATGAGATTCGTGTAAATGTGATTAACCGGATTTGTTTTAATTAATTTTGATGAAAATTGTACGATGGCTCAAAGCCATTTTATCACATAAAGTTGGATTTTACAATGCATACATTACATCATTTGGATGTATATAGTACAGCTGCGCCATCACAGACACTCAGTGTATAACGCAAAAAAAAAATTAATTGCATTGGACATTTGTTGGTTAAGATAAGCTCATTATGAACGGATCTACCACTTGAGGCAATACTAGAGAGTCAGTAATTAGCGGTGGCCTTACCGTTACTCAACATTTCATCGTCACACTTTTGGCCAGCTTTCATATACACCACGCCAAATTTAAAGTTGACAGATCCCTCTTGCTCCTCCAAAAGTAATAAATCTTTCTGTATGTCCGGTGAAAAGATCTCTTTTGGTGTCTTCGTCGCATCCATTGACGAAAAATGTGACAGCATTTGTTTTACGGTGGGCTTTTGATTTTGATGAAGAGTGAGCGATATCTTTTGAGCTCCCTAGAATAATAAAACAAACAAAATAAGAAGAACAAAACGACCGGAACCAAAATAAAAGTTTTATCAAAATAAACTTGAAAGTTAGGCAAACGAAGTAGGAATACGTGTTTTTCGGAAAACTTTTTGAACTCGCATTTACAATAATAACCATTGATGCATCGACTTGAGAATAACTCTTGCATGATATTTTTTGACATTGTATTATGCATGTTATGGTACAAGCATGTTATGGTACATGAGTCGAAAAACTGACAGAAACCATGTAAATGTGAATACAAATAATATATTTCAAGATGTTGTTATGCAAATAAATAATATTCTGCGAAAAATCAATTTACAACTGTGTATATTTCGTATTGAAAAGAACAATGTTTGGCTAAATAGACAAAAAAAGCTCGTCAAAATTTAAATGCAATGATGAAAATTGGACCGGGCCGGTATTCTAATACACTTTTCCGATCAATTTATTCGAAATTATTCCGAAAAATATATTTCTATGAATAAATATTGTTTTTAATAAACATTGCAGCACATAGCGAGAATAATAGGCGTTATTCATAAAAAAAACAACATTCCACTTATTTTCAGTGAAATTATTCCGAAACTTGTCTACATGATGGAATTAATTATAAAGTTTTTATTAAAAAAAATTAATATTTTTTTGTCTTTTCAACATTTGGCTTCAAAGGTAGACATCAAAAATACCAAAATAAAACTCTAATTGGACTCTTCATTTGTCGCCAAACGTTAAAAAGATAAAAAAAAATTGTCACACACTCGAAATTTCAGCCACCGTCAGGCGCTGAAACGGACTGTAAAACAATAGAAATGATTGTTATATTGATTGTAGTAATGTAAGTGTTAAAATAATAATAACAATAGCTTCTATTGTTTTCACTGAGCTGAGTTATTTATATAAACAATAATTCCGAACGATTCTTGTGGAATTGTCGTAGAATACCAGCCCCGAGTGTTTTTATTTAAATTCTTCGAATTAAAGGTATCCCCTTTTTACCGTCATCTTTTTTTTCACAGACATTTTCATAATTGTTTTGAAAATGTGTGTTCCAACATAAGTTACTCATGTTGAGTAAAAAGCATCGCCGTTAACAACTTTCATGTTACCATTTTAATGTAAGTAGGAGAGAAAAAATCGTTGTAAAAAGCGCAACATCAGTCAACAAGCGTCTTCTATTTGATAAATCCCAAAGCGAGCAACTAATGTTCGGTGCTTTTGTTTGCAAAAGAACCTACAGCCAGGTCAACCGAGACATGATAATATTTGAAGCACGTATCTCAAATAACAATCAATGCAATAAAACACTTTCCACTTTGTTAACTGTTTATAATGGCATTTTGATCAATGTACTTTAAATGTCAGTCAATGAGTATATTTTATTTTTTCCTTCTATTTCACATACAAACAAGCCGTACATCGAGCACAAACAAAAAACATTTTCTTAGTGGTTATTATGCTTCGGGCAATTTTTTCGAGTTTAATGCTGTTTGTGGTTAAAATCCACAAAAGAAAACAAAAACATCCGACCCATTTCCATTGCATAAAATGTCGATCGAAGAAATGTTGGTGTCGATTTGTTTTGACATTGTATATTGTTCTGATGAAGATAAACAAGCATTCTAATGTACGGTAGCGAGACTCATGGGAGGAAAATGCAGAAATCTTTGAATCGAAAATTTCTTTATTGTCTGATATCAGAACAATGACCCGCAATGTTATTGCGTCCTATTGACGCACATAAAACACCATTTCGAACAGAACAAAAAGATATGAGAACATGGTTTCGGTTCGTTAACAAGTATCTCATGTAAATTGTTATTTTTGTGGGGATTTATTATCCTTTTTCATAACAATTTCATTGCATAAATTTATAGAGTTGGAATAATTGACGTGAGTAAACTTCAATTTTATGAAGCACTACTATTTTCAATCGAATGAATTGGGTCGTTAATGTAATACACTTGGAATTTAGTCCTTGTTATGGCAGTTAAGACAAGCATAAATGCCACTATATACCATATCTATTTATATATTAGTTGTAAGAAGCATTACAAACGTGAACAATAATAATAATGATGTAGTCATAACCATTGACGTTATGTGGAATTATAGAATGAATGTGAAGTGCTATGTAACATCTTTCGATTAGAGAAGTGTTGATTGCTTCGCATTAGTATTCGCAATGCATTATCTGATCATCTTGGACTTTGATAACAATATGACCGAGAGAAATTTCGCTTCTTTTGATAATTCCATTTGAACAGCATCTGGACTGTTTTCAGATAACTTTTGTACGAATTCATGGGATATTATTCAATTGTTATTTGATATCACACCTTGAACTAACTGGGTAGTTGCTGCGATTGAACCGGCTATATGCTAACTGGGTAGTTGTTTTGAAAATAACAAACATCATGCATCAATAGCAGCAACTGAGTAGTAGCCCAAGACTAAATATGTTTTGATATCAACATTTAAAAATACACAATTGTTCCGCTCCTTTAGAGTTGAAACACTATTTCCATTTCAACAAAATGTTAGGCTTCTTTCCATTTCAATTCACATTTAATCAATTTGTCACAAAACAGCAAAAAACCAATTTAAAAAAGAAAATTCTTCGCACACATTTGAAATATGGACACTCGCCCAAATGTCGGACTATTTGTTTGAATTTTCAACTTCAATTTAATATTTAACATTTTTGGATTTTAAAAAAAATATCACTTTATACACAATTCGATGCAGAATTTAATTGTGCTTCATTTCACGTTTCTCAAAAGATAGTAATTTCCAAAAATGTATTATTTTTTTCCATTTTTTCGTCATAACATCGAAAATTCCAAATGTCGGATATTCGTCGTCCAATTCTCGGCTCCCTAATCTCGACATATTTCATGCATTTTCACTACGAAACTTGTAAACTTTAAGTTTTGACAGCCCATGAACGCACTATTTACATTGTGGTAAACAATACAAAATATTGGAGTTAAAATTATTAGATTGATATATTTTTGCTCCATATTTTATTTTACTTATTTTTCTATAGTAAAGTGGCAAAAATATTTAAAAATATTACGTTATTTCACTGATCTAGAATATTTTTGGTTTGAATTTCACAATGATCCAAATACGACTTTAACTGTCACATCTGTCAAATCCAAAGTGTTTCACTTGAAACTTCGGTGCTTTATGTGTCGGCAATTGGACGATTTATTCCGGAATAATATTACAGTGAAAAATGAAAAATAAATATAATTTTTTTTCTTTATATTTTCAAAATTTCTGTTCAATAATTAAATTAAACTATCTACAATTCGCCGACATAAATTTTTTTCCAAACTAGTTATTTTTTCATATAAAAAAACGCATTTTACCGGCTTGTCTCAAAATGACATAGTTTAACTTTTGACGTGAAAAAGTGATAAAAATGCCGAATTTTTTTTGAACGTAATTTGTGAAAGCAATAATAGATTTTTGATTAAAATTTGGATTATAATAAAGAGATTTGATATTGATCTTTCATAATTTACTTTTAAAAATGCAATTCAAATGAATTTTCAATTTTTAATTTCAATTCACCTCTCGGTATTCCGACATTTGGTCGTGTGTCGACATTTGGCAATCTACTGTATAAGTTTTGAAATATTCTTTCCATTTTAAATGATCATTTTTTTATTGTGTTGACTTTTTCCGCTCCGGTATCACCTATGCTCTAGCTTGAGTTGAATATTATATATGTTGTTAATTCAGTGTTGATATTTCGATCCTCTTCCATTTACATATGCATGGCTTAACTTTTTCGCCATGTTACTGAATCGTTCGAGAAAGGAATTATTCGGAATTATTGAAATGGAAAGTTTTGCATAAAAACGGTACCAAAAAAAAAAAAAATCAAAACGAATACAAATTAGGTTATTTTCATAGACAGCATGTCACAACCTGATTTATGAATGATTTGCCGAGTGTAATGGATGCACAGAAAATGAATGTATTCGCATATTTTATGGAAATTTGACGGTTGAAAATAACGAAATTATCATGCATTGCATTGCCAACTCTTTTCTCGCTCTCTCTTCAAATCATAATCTTGAATGATTACATTGCAATCAACGAGATAATGTCATTTGTTTGAATATTTATATTCCAATGGTGTTCTTAACATTCCTTAGTACACGTGAATAAAAACTTATGATTCGAATGTGTCGACCATTGAGAGAAGTTGGGCATATCCATTTATCCTTTTTTCTATGGAAGATTGAAGACAGGTATTTTACGTTTCATTAAGACCGTCATTGAGATGGATTTACATTTTAAAGAAATGCCATTATGGTTTTGCTCTAGCTCACATACTTGTTAGATGTCATTGCTTTCAAAACGAACTGAAACGAATCGACTTTATTCAGATACAAGCAAATAATATACATTGAATTGTTGATTGACTTGTACTGTTATCATGAACGAATATTTCAACTGGAATCAGGTGTTTATCATTCATTCATCCAATCATTCATATTAGATCAGTTTTAGACACATGTCATTTTTCATTCGGAACCGATTATGTTTCTGTTGCTCTACATATTCATCCAATATAACGTGAATATCAAATATTCAAAGAAATTTATAGTGATTTTGTGAGCAAAATGAACGTGATCGGTTCAATGTGGCTAAAATGTTTCACGAGTTTTTATAGTTTCGTCAAACAAACCCTGAAACAGAAAATGTGTGGGCAGAGAAACAACGGGGTTGAAAGTTGTGTTCATCAGTTAAATTTATCCCGTGTAAAAATGGAAATTTCTCATAGCATGTGCGTCAATGATGTAATGGATGGTGTAAGTTGCCTTCCAAGTAGTCGATCCGATTTTGATTCTCGGTTGACGCATTTAGTGATTTTTTTTTAAATTTAAATCATATATATTAAATTGATGATACTTTACGTTATACAAATTCAAAATTTAAATTACACTGAACAATGGTGTCTATGACAAGATGTCATAAGCAGAGCTCTCGAGGAGGAAAGGAGTGAAATTAATTTTGAATAGATGGTAAATTATCAAACACCATAGAAAAAGCGAGAAAAAGAGTACAAAGACAATTAGCCTTAGACAATTGTTCATTTGTAATTCGTGTAACGTAATGGTTAATGGCTACATTGTAACCTCAAGAGGTTAATATTTTTATTACATTATTATTTTTATTATTCTGAATGGGATCTATATTCTTTAAGTACTGCATGATGTGACTGTATTTGCAAATTTCAGTATGGCGCGGAAGAAAGGGAGTATATTTCGGTCATTACAAATACCAATTAATGCAAATGGGCTAACATTGAAGGATAATAATCGTTTCTGTATAAATTTGACCAATTCGAGACTTAAGCGTAGTGCGTAGTGTCTACTTGCTCCATATATTGGGTCGATGTATCTTTTATTGAAAACTTTGTTTGGTTTAGTGTTTATAAATAAATCTTAGCTTCTAAATAATTTGATCCCGTATGTTGTATGCTTAAAAGACACCATTTGGAAAATATATTGCAAGATTTATTTACAAACAATGAAAAGTAATTAAAACAAAATGCAATGAAAGATTCAATGGACCATTTTGTATATAACATTTGTTTCTACAATGTTCCAGTGTGTATTAATTACATTATCTTCAGACAAAATACCATTTCTAGATATATAATACGGTGTATTATATCCAAGAGAACTAAAATAAAGAAGAATAAAAAAAATTATTGCGTCAACCGAGAATCGAACTCGGATCAACTGCTTGGAAGGCAACTATGCTAACCATTACACCATTGACGCACATGAACAACAATGCATAAACTGTGAAATCAAGAATTTCTTCAGAGCTCGGATCGAGACAATAGTTGAAAAAAAAAAACAAATTTTATTTATTTATGATATTTGATTACAGGTATAATTTTTGTGATCATAAGCACGCAAATCACAATATACATTTTTATCAGGCATCATTTAATATTCTACTCGTGTTCGATGAAAAAGAAATCACTTTCTACCAAACACAAAAACAAAAACAAAAAACCGATGATGCGTGTTAAAAGTACATTTGAAATAAAGAAATGATAAGCAGCTATTTAGACTAAAAATAGCCAACCATAATTCTTTGATAACGTATACATTTTGTTGAACCAAAATATCCAACATTCCATTTCATGATAATATTCGTATTGTCACTATTTTCATATTCAAATAGAAAGAGACCGGTTTTCGTAACAAACTTAGCTGCAAAAGACATACTGACCTGTTTACGGAATAACATGGCTCTATACAATGGTGTTGATTTGTTTCCAGATTCGTGTGATACAATTGAGAGAAAATATGGATTTTTCTCGCAGTCGATTCCCACGTAATTTTGATGCACTATTTTCGTGTAAATATACAGTCGATATAGCACATATTGAAAATTGTATTTAAAAAAAAAAAACGAGAAAAAAATTGTTTATGAATATTTATCGCAACAAAAAAATGGTTTGAAAATAATATTTTTTATCAGAAAAAATGGCAAACACAAAAGTATCGCTTCGGAAATGAAAAAATTCAAACACAGTATTTACGTACATAAATACTTTAGGAATAGTTGGATGTTTTTACGAGCGAAAGAGAAAAGTTGTGACCGGATGAAAGTTAAATAATAGAATCATTTGATTTGATTGATACTCACATTTTCCAAGAAAATATTTGAAATACCATCTTGTTTGATGTTCCGGATTTTCCAAAATCGGCGTACTTGGTGACCCGAAAACCTATTTATTTGCAAACAGAAAAAAAAGATACAACATTTAATGTTTGCCAAAAATAATTGTGCTAGTACGCGTTCTAGTTGTGTGTATCAAAACGTTTCACTCGACTGATTTCAACGATTTTTCCATTTGATGTTTGTTTTCATTACTCACAATATGAATTTGCTATTGATTTTTTTTTATTCAAAAAATAAAACAAATGCCAACAAAAAAAGAGGTAGCAACAATAAATTTATTCGGCAAAAGATTCCTTTCGCAGGAAAACGTAGAATATCAAAATCCATTTACAAAATGACGAGTTTAATTCATAGAAAACACAATGATTTTCATAGAAACTTTATAGAAGAATAATATATTTTCATTGAGCGGAAACGAGTGACACTCAAACATGTGCTTCTTCTTCAAAAACAATACATACAAAAGCATCACATGAACAGAAACTAAGCTGAGTAGCGCACGCATGTGCTGTTATGGCATATACTTGTGAAGTTTGTGAGTTATATAATATTTACAATTACTTGAAATCAACGTGACGTCAATCAAATATTCTTCTTTTTTCATAGTTCAGGGAAATATGGTCTCACAAATGCGGAAATGAGGTCTTTCCATCGATATTATTCATCGTTTGAGAACATTTAACAAAGAACGGAACGTATCACCGTCTTCCTTTACTTTATTGAGTTAACTGTACCTAACCATTCAAATTGCATACAATTGTGATTGATCCGATGGCTCCGCATTTTTCATGTAATTTCCGTTCATAAAATAAAGTGAGATTCAATCAATTTGCCTATTAAACGTGTTCATCCTCTTCATAGAATGATTTCCCTTACCATCAACTGAATTTGCATATAAAATGTATGGTCATGCATTGAATATGATGACAACAAACAATATGTGAATTCGTACGGTTACGGTGTTACCAAATTTCATCGATAATCCATAATTCTGAAAAGTTACCACCAAAATGCGCAGACAAAAAACATATCGAATTAATCTCATTTGTTCACTAAATGTTCGTGTCATTGGATTTTGAAATATGGAGTTCATAACATTCAAATACCATGTCATGAAAGTGCCATCCATGTTGACGCTTTTGTATCGATCTGTTACGGGATTCTGTTGCAATTATTTTATGGTAGTGGTTCAATGTTGACATAAATTGAATTTTTTCCATTTTTTCATTATTTTTCATTCACGTTTTGATCGATCCATGATTCGCTTGAATATCTATCGCTTCACTTTGATTCCTCTTGAATGGCCATCATTTTATTAACCATATTATAGTTGAAGCATTGCAAATGCACGTTCACTGGTAATATTTTAAGTTTATTAGCCAACGCTTTGGTTTTTATTGCTTTTTATGTCGCACACACACACACACACTTCCGATGGTAAATAAAGCATTGAATTTATATTGCTCGGATGATGATTCAGCGCGAAAGGTCATTTCAAAATAACGAGAGAAAAATGCGTTGCTTGTCATGAGTAATTTTTCAATCTTGATTGGTTTTTTCCCTCATTTTATGAAAATTCAATTATTCGAGTTTTTTCTATAGGCCCTAAAAATCTATTGACAACCGCCCTATAGATCAAAATGATTGGTTTAATTTATTCCTTACGTCAACAAGTGCACGTCAAAGTTTTCTTCTCTTTTTTTCAATCGTTAAGAAACTCTAGAAGGCATTTCAATGATTACGGTTTAGCTGAACCGATTTAAAATCATTTCCACAAGAGAATAGATTATAATGAAATGTTCCTCCAGCAGCTCCCGAAGAATTCAATATGTTTCAATCAAAAATGCTACTTTTTTCGATAACGCTTGGCATTATCGTGGTGCTCTTGATGTTGACTTTATTCAAGTGATGGTTTATACTTGAAGCGCTCAAACTTCATCATTTTCTCTTTTACTTGGCAAGGTGTCGCAAAGAGCACATCTATTCCCATCGACATAGCGTTCACATTGTATACATTTTCAGATATACAGAATTTTATTTCCGGTGGTTTTCACGTTGACATGGTATTAGGAAACAACATCAACTGAAGAAAAATCCATGCACCGAATATTCATGGGCAAAAATCGATATCATGAATAAATTATGCTCGTTATTTTGTAAGCATGATCCAAACCATGACAAAACCATTCGTTTGGAATATTCAAAGCTACCACGCTACTTAATATTGAGAGATTTTCGTTCGAAGTGACGGTGATAGTTGTTACTCAATGTGTGAATTGTTGATAGTTAAAGAAATTTACATGATAAACGCTTAAATTTTCCGAATGACAATAAATCGCAGTACTGCAAACACAGCCACATGCCATTTCCGACCACATTTGCTGAGTTACTCAACGCGCCTATGAACTATAAAACATTTCTCATCACTTGACTCTATCATTGAAGCAGTTGTTGAAAATCATCATCAACAATTCTGCAAAACTTGGCATTTAAGACAGTCTTCGTTTTCAACTTGATGCAGAATATGTAATTGAGTCGGTTTTAATAGTACAATGTCAAGCACCATACATGAAGCTCTCTCCGCGTGTGTGTGTGTGCGCGAATGTGTTTTTTTTCCTTTTTTCAAAGATATGATGAGTAAAAGTAATACATAATTGCACTTGCCACAGTGCAACCATGTTGACGTCATTTGTTATAGGTATTTTCTACTAAAGTCTTTACGGTATCTTTATGGTGGAAGACATAAACGAAGCGTAATTTCTTTAAAATGAGCGAATAAACCTAAAAAAAACGCGAACCGAAGAAATATAGAACGGAAACACAGCCTATTTTCATTTTTGCACTAAACACTAAAGAAGATATTTTTAAATTGGAGCGAGTTCAATTTTTACGATTAACTTACCTCATCGATTTCGGCAAGGGATTCACCATTTTCCAAACGAAAACGTCGACAATTCGGATCGAGCGCATCCAGATCGGTTTGAGGTAGCTAAATGAGAAAATAAAATTTAATGAATAGATTTTCCACTGAAATTCGTTCAAAATTCGTTTTTCGGATTTCAAAGTATAATTACATAAACAAGATACCTTTAGTAAGTGACAATTTAAATTATTCCATATGGATGGAAATTCCAATATTTTTTAAGCAAATTTATAGACCATTCGCTCTGCAGGTTTTACAAGAATGACCGCTTTTTTACGACATTCCCGGCCTTTTGAGAGTGATATAATTGCATGTATTAAATATTTTTGCACGATGAACAGCACACGATCGTTTATGGTTGAAAACGGGACAACGTTATCCCAGTACAAAAAGGTCGAAACCTTTTCCAAAGCACAGTCATTTCACCATGTAATGACCTCAATCATCAAGCGCATATTTACGATTATTATGATATGTATGTGTTGGTATGTGTGCTTGCTCATCGCTGAAATACCACGATAAATTTCACTCGTTACATACACTTAAGCATTGTATAATGTTTGACAAGTATAATGCATTGTGCACGTCGTGGTTTTATCAGTATAATCATGAAACGGTGAATATCCAGCTGTTAAAACGAATGTATGTACATTCTAGACTGAGCCATAACATCAAATTAATTGCACGAACACAGTTCGTCCATTTAAACAATATTGTGATCGGTTGTACGAAAGTGAAAAGTTGTATAAAACTGACACACAAAAGAACAAAAAACCGAGAAGAGAACGAGAATGGGAGAGCTTTCAGTGACCAATAAACACTTGAAGAGTTGAATAGACGACGACAATAAAACGACCAAAAGCATATCGATTATCAAATAATTGGTTAACGATATTTTCTGCACACTATTCACAGCGAGATTCTAAGTGCTTTTCATTGGATTCGTTTGGTTTTCATGTAAAAGCTATTCAAAACAAACACAATATAAGTGATTATACAGTCATACACACCATTAGCCCACAAAAATTGTTTGGTTCCGATTAGGTGAATAGCATTGCTATTAGAGTTCTGTCGATTTTGTACATTATAACACTGTCAAATTTTTTTAAATGGCAACGTACTATCGAAAAAATCCTCGTCTCGAATAAATTTCTTTTTTGCGATTCAGAACAAAAAACCGCTATTTATTCGACTCCTTTTTCATCTGCGTTGAAAATGTTCCACGCAAACATTTTTCTTTACATGTTTGCACAGTAAATAGCGTGCTTTCTATCCACATGAGAGTTTGTACTATTCATTTATCAATTTGTGTGCTGCCATTGAGATGAACCAATTTCGGTGTGTGTACATTGCTTCAGCAGATGGGATACTGTACGTTTTGCTCTAGTTGGTTTTCGGTTCGAAACGAATTCAGTTGAAAAACAATTTTGATCGATTCGATTTTCTTTTGTTTATCTCATCTCATTTTTAAACATAAGAACGGTGAATTTTGATAATCTGTATGTATTTTTCATTCTCATATCGTGCTTTAAAGTACTAATGTTTTAAAATTATATTTCCACAAAGATGCTTTCACGCGAATCACGATAACCGTAGATGCTTATGCAGAATTCTCAGGGGTCGTATCAGCTCCGCTAAGGATCGGATAAAATTAACAAACACCCCCACCCCCAATAAAAGACGTCCTTTTTGCATTTCTCTTTTCCTGGATAAGAACTATAAAAGAGAATGAAGTTTTGGGAGCGAGTGAGTGTCTATGATGTAATAAACATGGAACCTCCTCTTGCTTTTACTCGCTTTAAAAAAGAATCAATAAAAAATGTATTTTGTTGAAAAGACGATTTTTTTGGAAAAATATGCCATGAGTATAATGTAGACTTTACGTTTGCAGAGTGAATTAGAACGCGCACATCTAATTGAAAATATTTGTAAAGAATGTAGAATGTGAAGACTTTTGATACTAATTTATGTGGAACAGATGGCGATGCTAAAAATGAACCTTTCTGTCAACCACAATAAAAAAATAAATGGAAATTCTTTTACGTGTACTTTGAATCATTTACCCAAAAATGTGCCTTGGTAAAATCACTTCAATTTGTCAAATTTAAAACTTTGTTCTATTTGTTTTTGTTCGGTTGGGGTAAAATTCAATAAAAAAATTATTTAATTCAATTTGCTCGGATCTAATTGGCAATTTCTGCAAACGAAAACTTTTGAGCTTTCGTAATTAGAGCAGGCGGAAGTTAGAATCTAAAATTGTTTATTGTTCAAATAAATATATTCAAAGTTGTTGGAATTCAGACAATTTCACAAAGGTTGCGGTGAATTCAAGTTGGCTGAACTGTTCTGCGCATTTTCCAGCAAATGTATAAATCCATATGCTCATCAATAAAACGCTGTTCCTTATGTAGCACATGTGTGACGTCTAAAAGCAGTGCTTTTAAAGCACACATCAAAAATCCATTTGATTGACTACACACACACACACACACACCTACAGATTGGAGTTTTATGTTTTGAATTTTGTGTCTATCATTCGATCAGAATTCAAAAAAGAAATTCCTTCACACGGAAAAATCGGCGATTTTTGTTGTGAATTTCATGAACATTTGATATTTATGGTCTCATTAAATGTCAATATGTGTGTGTGTGTTTATATTGTTGCGGTTTTATAAGTTAAGCGTGTTCGTACAAAAAGTTTTTACTGTATTTTCGTTTATATTGTATGTCTACGTATTTGGATGATTGTAAATGTTCATTTACGAGCTGCTTATTCAAAAGCGTCAAATTGTGGAACATTTTGTTGGGCGGTATTGTGTATATGTGTGATATGATCTCCTTTGCATTTGACTCGTCTGTAAAAGCTGATGGATTCAAACAATCCACACAAAGTTGAAGAAAACTTGAATTCACATTTTGCGCAGTATACTCACATATCCATCACACAAGCACATACACACTATACCAGACAAGTATGCGAAGAAGAAAATCTAATCAAACCATCTTACTGAAACAACAAACTCTGGCACAACATATCAAATGAGGAAATTCTTGATTAGGTCGCATAATTCTTGGCTGAAAATCGATTTTATGCTTTACACAGTAAGCTATGACTATGAGATTCACATGAAGCAATAATCCACGTTCATTTATTTTCAAAACGTGTTGATGCAAAATTCGTTGAAATGTGCCAAAAAAATGTTCCGCACACATTTAATAGCACCAAAAATTCCACACGAAACACAAGCGAAACGCACTGCAGGTGATGCAGTACTTTATTTGCTCCATATATTCCGCAGAGAAAGAGAGAGCAAAAAACGTCATGAAAGCGAAATAACTTTACTCCACTAACATGCCTTTTTTCACATTCCCTGTGGCCAAACACAAACAAAAAACTTATTCGACGGCAAAAACATCAACATTACGTGTATAATGTTATCATGAAAGTTTCGAATATACTTTCACACGAAATGGAACCTATTTATTTTTTCTTTGCATTGCAAATGGTTCCGTGTTTGCAGATGAGCAAGATTATCAAGAAAGTGAATAGAAGAAATTATCGGTTTGCTCACTTTCAGCTGGGAATTTACGTCAATTATTACCTGATCCGTTGAACCATAATGGCGACGAGAGAACACACCACGCCGGGATATTAATTCGGTAGCCGATGAGCTGAAAGAAAAAAAAATGAAAAAAATAAATCAATTAAATACGAATGTAATTTTTAATTAAAATTGCGTAAATTGTGTTTATATATTTATAAAAAGTAATGAAATAATATGCAGATTCAAATTAAATGTTGGCATGAATTCTTAATGACTACAGTAATGTTTTAAACAATATATGTTAAATACAATGGAGTTGACCCGATTTGGTTTCATTTTTGAAACAACGTTGATTTCCCTTTTAACATATGTCACTCTCAATAGGTGGCCAAACGCTGTCAACCTTATGCAGTTGATTAAAAACCAGCGAATATGGGAAATCAAAATGATGGTCATTCTTTTACCGAGAATTCAATCCATAAAATTGTCTGCACAAAATATCACAGTCATTCATACAATCACTAACATTAAGCGGATGTCCTTCACACGACATGAAATCACTCACTTGATACAAGATTTTTCGATCGAAAATTTGTGGTGGATTCAATTACATAGCACATTTCATGAAAGGTGAACACAAGCAGTTTGTGGCACTTTTCTTCGATACGCAGTGAACAGTACGAAAATCCATTACGGAAGTCGTTGAGCATATTGAAGTATTTGATTCAATAAAAATGTATCTACCAGATTCGTTCGTATTAAGGTGGAGCACTTTTTTTTTCAGAAAAAAATCGACGATAGCCGAATTTTTTGCAACACAATCTTGAATCTTCCAAATACGAATCATTAGAATTTTCAAAAGAAGCCACTTATTTGGTCGATTCGTGTTTATGATATCGTACTGCTAAAATGACTGTAATAATTTTTCTCGAACAATATTTTTGATACACCCTATCTATCTATCTATATGTATAATATGTGTTGTTGTAATGTGCATTCAACCGTTCTGAAGCTATGAAATTAAATTACGAAGAAAAAAAAAGAAATTTCCTAGAATCGAAACATTTACCACAAAATACGTATATGAAAAGAGCATACGTCGAATTAATGATCATAAGTGTTCGTAAAACTAGTAAAAAACCGTTGAAATGAACATACGATGGAACTTGGTTTTTGTCAATGAACGGAAGTTATGTTTGAGCGAATTTTCTAATTAGATTTTACTCAATTTCAAGCATAGAAACTTTGATTCGTGCATCTGCGTTAATTCGCCCATTCACATGAAATGTTGAACAAAAATGTATCATACTCGACTATATATTTGTATATTTTTGTACTTCCGTCATACGTTCGGAAAGTGAAAATATACGGAAGCTTTCGTATTGCCTTAAGAAATATAGTTATTTCGCTATGTACGGTATTCGGTATTCATGCCGCAATTTTCAGTTTATTATAACCAAGGTGGCAATGCTTCAAGAACATGTGTTCCAAACCAAAGATATATTTCACTTGGATGTAATACACTACATCAAAATAATCATCATGTGAAATATGGTTTTGAGGTAAAACTTAAAACCATATGCCACTTCGTTATATTTATTGTAAGGGCTCTTATCTCTGTAGAGCTTATTTTTTTCTAAAGCTTTAAATGGTTGTGAATGAATGAATGTCTCGTCATAGAACTGTGTTAAAACGACACCATGTTAAATCACTGACACAAAAGTGACTGGGACAATTTCATTCATGGTAAGATTGTTGATGCCGAATCAAAGTTGGGATTCCAACTTTGCCTTACCCTTTCCCGAACTAATTTTATTTCAATTTTTCAAGTGTCAGACAAAGTTAAAATTTTCTTCAATTTCATTTGAAAATCAACAATTCTTAACTTCTCCAATTTAAACAATGGCATTTTCGTTAGTGTGCTTATGGCCAATTTCGATTCAATAAAAATGTTGGTTAAACTTCGAGCAAAGTAGAAAAAGCACACATTTCTCTCACTTCAAAATATGTAGAAAACAATGAAAATTCTTCTGGATTTCAACAACAAAACAGCTTTGCATTATCCAATCCAATGGCATCGCCGGAGCTAATGATGAATATTGTATTAACATTCGAATTCACTTCATTGACCTTTCGAACCAAATTAGCTTCGCTTTTCGGATTGTGTCATTGATTGAATATTCCTCTCGGCTAGAGTTTTATAGTGTGTGTTAGCTACACAGTTAAACTCGGACATAACGCGAATTTGGAAAATGCGATTCATATAACATATAGTTAGCCATTTACATACCATTAGTCAATAATTTATTCGATAAAATCGATAACAGTAAATTGGTGCCATTCGCAGCATTCAAAATAATAATAATAATAAGTGTATGCTCTTATTGCGGGATCCGGTACAAAAGGTATGATTTTCATCATTTTCTTTGTCCAACTTCATGTGCATTATATCGCACCTAATGACAATGAAGACGAAATTCATACCAAGTTTTTTGGACTTATCGTGAAAAATGTATATTACAGTAATTTATTGTTAGATTGCAATAGTGGCATTATGGGATTTGGTACGATGCAATTAGATATGATAATGTAAGGTTAATGTTTTTTCTTGTTTATCAAATTTATGTAACAGCAACGATATATAGCAACACACAGTTGAAGTGAGTTATTTTGGTCACATGTTGTTTCAATTATGAACAAATGTACACATAAGCCCAAAAGGAGCTCGTTTTTATTTATTGAGTAGTTGGCCCAATTGCAAAAGGTCATCGAATGTAAGTGAAAATGTATGATGTTAGAATGTTTCTATGTCAATCACACAATACTGGGATAAAATAACTTTTGGCTATTCTCGCTCCACAAAATTCACATGTCGAACTTGAATTGAATTCGCATTTGGAAGTCACTGATTTTGTCAGTATTTCGATGATATTGTCCTGCCACAAGCTGCGAAACATTCAAAACAGTATGGAACTTGCAAACTATGTGAACAACATTTTCAGTGTAATCGCTTGCTTTTTTTATTTCAAGCAAAAAGAGTCGATTTCAGTCATGCCTCGCTAGAATGATTATCAGCACGTTATAGATACAGAGAGAAAGGAGCAAAAGAAAGATATTGCAAATGGAAGGAGTGGAGCGTTGTTATTGTGTTTTTGGCGTAAGAAGCGAAGAGAAAGAATTTGAGAGAAACCCAATGTGTGAACGAGCACAGTTATTCCAATCACAGCGTGCTTTTGACTAAAATGAATCCATGCTTGATTTTGCAGAAATTGACACAAGTACACTTCAACTTCAAGTTGAATTGACTTGGTCATAAAGAAAAAAACTTTTTGTTTGTGAACTATTTCATTTGACTTCTATTTTTTCCTCAGTTATCTCACTTCTCATCGCAAAGTAATTGCAAAACTAGCGATGAAGTTCGACAAATGCTATACCAAATCATTTCTGCGTGAACATCTTCGGCATTTCAATTTATTCAGAATATGCTTGCAGAACACTTTATCCCCTCCGGTTAGCAAGTTATTATATTTTAAAAATGCTTACCAGGTTGGCAGTAGTTCCAAGAAATACGAGATACTCATATCTCAATAGATATGTGTAAAATGATAGAAAGAGAGAAAAAAATTGAATTGGAGGGTAGAAAACACAAATATGAACAGCAAAGATGTAACTAAAAGGATGAAGATTCGACGTAGATTTGAAGCCAAATTAGAATTTCAAATAAGGTGGATTTAATGGAAGAATGATGGATTGTTGTCTTTTTTGCGATAAGCCAAGAGATGATCTTCAATCAGTTGTGTTCCCTTTGAAGTTATTGTCTTCAAGTTGGAATAGGAAAATCCTTTGAGTTGAAGGGTAGCAACATGTCATCAACAATAAACAGTTCAAGCATGTGCGTTGGCATTGTTCTTATTTGAAATCAATGTTCCTTTCACTAACTCAAATCCATGTGATGTTAAGGATGGTATTTCAATAGTGAAACTTAGAAATATTCATATAAATGGAGTGGTAGGGGTGTAACAAAAAACTCATTAGGCAAAAATAAACATAAAAAACTATAAAATGGGAAAACAATTCTTGAGAGCATAGAAAAGTAAACAAAAATATTGGTTGCAAAACAAACAAACAACACGTACGATAAAAAAAATGTAACAAAAATTGCTAATGAATTATTAATCATTACATGACACTCGATGCTCGACGCTGTAAAACACGTAATGCGCCTATGTCTCGATTTGGTGGTGCTCGTGTTGGTGGCGTACATAAGCTCTGACTTCGGTCACGTACCGATTCTTCGCGATAGGCGCGAAAGAATGTTGCCAATTTAACGTTGAAACATAGCATCATATTCATGTTGGACCAAAAAATGTGTGTGAGCGTGTGATGTAATCGAGTTTTGCCTACTACTTTTTATTCAATTTATTGTTAAATGGTTTAAACGATTTTTATGGTCCTTCAGATTGTCAACGCCTTCGCATCGTACGCAAAGTGAACGCAATAAATTTTACTTTGTCGTTTTAATCATTTATTACACCCTTATCTTCGACGCATTACTATCGATTTACTCGTTTCTCGCTTAGATTCACCGTGTTCGTTTTTTCTGTTGGTTCGATTTTATTTATGCTCATACAAAGCTCACAAACATGTATACACACACTTAATCAAATTTATGTTCGTAGATTTTCACGTTTATCCAATTTCACTATTGAATCATCGCAGTTGGTAGTAAGTGCTCATATCGCCATTATATGAATTTTTATTTGGGATATGTATATCTATGCGTTCACTTATTGTCTTTTGCACACCATATTTTATACAATTAATATTGTAATGATAATAAAAAAGGAGCCCGCATTACGATAGTTTGATTATTGTATTTTTGGCCATAAATTTGGTTTGTTGCAGCAATATTTGGCGATATTTCAATTACGACACACGCACAGTACGACAGCCCTTTAAGCCGTTACTAATTGTTTGCCACATAAGTGCTATCCATACACCAAATATGATGATGTTACTATTTTATGGCATCAATTAATTCGTTGTTTTTATTTATTTATTTTCATAAGTTCAATTTCGTTGCTTCGTTCACATCACAAATACTTTATCATCTATTTGTTTGTTTAT